GCAAAACTGCAAATCTCATGACAAGACTAACTCTAGCCATTGGAATGATATATGATATTACAGTTAATATTGATGTTACTGATGGCTTGACAAATGGTTCATCATGTACTGTATTTCTTGTTGAAAACAGATTACCTGGTGTATCAAGGCCAAGTATAGTGTGGGTGAAGTTTTTAGATTCTGCAGTAGGGAGAATTGCTCGACAGAAATACAGACATCTTTTCCATGATGATGTTATGGATGATTGGACACCAATATTTGACTGTCAGCGATCTTTTGTTTTCAATTCAACTACATATCAAAGAATACAGTTTCCTTTAAGACCAGCTGCTGGTAAGACAATCCATAAAGCTCAGGGCTGCACTGTTGATGAAATTGTAGTAGATTTGTCTCAGTCAAGGATAAGGAAAACACCCCACATTCATTATGTAGCTCTTAGTAGAGTTAGATCTGTTGACAAGTTGCATATTCTGAATTTCAATGAGCAAGCATTAACTGTAGATGAAAAAGTTGTAGAAGAAATGGAAAGAATGAGGAATGAAGCACCTCTAAAACTGTGTTATCTTCCATTGTACAAAACAGAACAGAACAAACTAAAAATTATGTTTAATAATGCAAGATCTCTTCACAAACATTTCAATGAAATTAAAAATGAACCCAATGTTGTAGCATCAGATGTTATTGGTTTTTCAGAAACAAGATTAACCATCAACGATGAACAGAATTTTATGATGGAAGGTTACTTGACTTTGTTCAATCATGAAAAGAGAAGTGACAGCAATCGTCCTTATCATGGAACAGCATTATACGTTAAACAAGACCATTTGATGACATGTATCTCAAAATTCAGCAACACTTTGCTTGAATTCATCATAGCTTTAGTAAATTTCAGAGACCTTGGAGAAGTGCAAATAGTTGTTTTATACAAGTTCCCAGCATGTTCTTTTAAAGAATTTGAACGTGAAGTTATGTTGCACTTAAAACCTTTTGTAGACACAGAGAAAAAATTCATAATTCTTGGAGATTTCAATTTTGATTTGTTTACAGGTCACAAAGAATTTCTGAACTTTATGAATTTGAATTTAAAATGCACACAATTGGTAAAAAAGGTAACTCATGATTCAGGTTCACAACTTGATTTGATTTTCACAAACTTCCCTCATTGTGAAACTGATGTGATTGAGGCATATTGGTCAGACCATAAAATGATTTACTGTACATATACTTTATAAATTTGATATAAGGGACGCATGAGAACTTATTTGGGGGAGATATATCATATTGTCCCCTCTCCCATCTACCAATGTGCCAGTGTCACTTAGTGACATTTGGTACATTGATTACTGTATACAGGGTTATATTTGCCCTAGCTGTGTTATTTTCAGCCTTTCACACAATTTTGCAGCGTTTTAAATTATCCCCAATCGCAGTTTTATTGAAGAAATCATACTGTGTTCTTTGAATTTACCCTGTTTTAAATTTGTCTATACCTCAAAGATGGATAACAGTGGGAAAAATAAAATGGGGCGAATATTTCCCTGTATACAGTATCTTATAGACACCAATTACTTGATGTAAAAATTTGTTAGTTTTTAGTAATATGTATACTTTAAACTATTTTTTATATGCATGCATGGAATAGCCTAAAAGATTTGCAATTAACTCATTAATGATCACAAAACAATTTTACTGAACAGGAATCCTTCATTATGACTTTTTATTGTGGATTAATTTTCAACAGACAATTAATAAATGTACAAATAATTGAATGTTGCATGTTAAAGTAAAGTCATGTACCATCAATAAAAATCATTCATGTCAAAAAAAAAATGATGATCATTGTACATATTATGTTGTAATTAATATATAGAAATTATGAATATACTGTATTGATGTTTTTGAGATAATAGTTTTACCCTTACTGTTTAGATTCTTTTCTTTAATGATTATACATATGAATATCATGAACTTGTATTTTGAATATCGGTATACATGAAATATTTTGAGATTACATTAATTATTTACAAAGTTTTCTTTAAAGAAAATAATGAGTTCTGCTAAATAATTATTAGAGTTGTACTACAAATATACACTTGCATCAAGTAATTGGTATCTTTGATATATGTTAAACACTGTATTCTATAATTTTATGAAGTATTTAATTCATCAAATATATTACCGGCATCTGTTCATATAAAATTTGCTGTATAGAAATATTGTAAGTTTATAAATGTTACTATGTCTTGTGTCATTTAGTCCCTGCTGAACAATACTGGAGTACATGAGAGTGTTAACTTTTACAGTGTATATGAATTAATATTTTTTCTAGAGCAAAATTTTTTTTACATTTTGTTTTGAAATCATGTATGTTCATTGTATATATGAAACTTTGTGTTGAAATAATTTGACTTGAATTTTATCTTTTTTGATTTTTTTTGTGTTAAATTGTTTAAGTTTATTGTATTTTTGTATTTCAAATCATTCAGAAATTGCTTTAAACATTAACATTTACTAGCTTTAGTTTATACCTGTGTAGAATAGGAAAGCAACCTGCATAATCAGACAGAAACTGACAACTCATTCTAAGTTACTAGTATATTGCTGATTTTATTTAACTCCATATTAATTAATATTTATTTTTCTCCAGCATTGAGATATTTAATATGTGACCACCATTATATTATAATTTCATGAGAATCGACTTATACCCAGGTAAGTATGAAAAGAGGGGGTCAATGGCCGGCCCGTAAAGGGAGGTAAACCTACTTCTTTATAACATTACAATTTTTCCTTTAAAAGAGAGGGAAAAAGGTGGATCACTACAATTTCTCATAACTGGGCTTTAAAATCAAAATTATTGATTGCAAAAATCTTAATCACTCCATTTTGGAATATTACCATCAAGTTTAGGTTATCTGATTCCTGCAGGTACTCTACATTACTGGTAAATGTTACTTATTAATAATTCTTTAGAAATAATAGTCCATGTTCAAAGTCAGAGTCTGTTGACCATCATAAAATTATTCACATTCAATTGCAATCTTTCCAATTTTCGCTTTCGTTATCTATAGGAAAGATTTACTATGAAGTGAACTACATCAGTATATTTCGTATCTTTCAAACGATTATTTTGATGTATTTAGCTTTCCTCTAAACAAATTTTGAACTGTTTAAAAAGCATCTATGTTTACATGTAATGTTATTGTCAGGAAAGTTTGCATTTCTGTCACAAAATTGTTGCAATGTTGCATATTTGATACTGTGTGCATGTTTGTTGAAGTCATATGAAATTTAGAAAGTTGATTGTTATTAACGCTTCTTAGTTTTCATTATATTCTCTACTAATTGTCTGATAAATTTTCACCAAATCTGTTGAATTTTGTAAAGAAATAAAAGTAAAATCTTATTCGCATTTTCTGTTTTTATTATAACAGATTATCATAGCTAATGTCACACCCCCCAAAAAGGAGAGAAATGTTATTGTTCAATAAAAGCATATTACACTTCAGAATTGACAGTACAAGTGCTATATTCTGCAGAAATACTGAGATTGACCTCTTTATGACTAAATTGATAATGAGGTACACTGTAGGCATGAAGCACTGTTTTAAAAAAAAGCCATTCTAAGCAATTTTATGCTCAGATCAAGTCAAATTACAGAAAATGAATTAAAAGAAGTTCATACTCTAATATCTACATGCATAATTCTTGCAAGTAAAGGTCTTGCACTCAGATGAGCGATTTGTCCCCTGGGCCTCTTTTTTTTCTTACGACGTCATGTGACGTCAGAGTCTAAACGCACCAGGCTTAATTGGGAGTCATAAAACTTAGATGAGCCAACTTTTGATAATAGTAGATACTTGAGAATGAGATCAAAAGTGAGCTTGTCCAAGATTTATGGCCCCCAGGCCAAATCATAAATGTCACATGCAGTTTGACAAGCCTGATCTTAATTATAACAGAATAAATATCTGCGCTCGCCATAACGGTCGCACTGTCAACATATTAAAGATTTTCCACTAAATATTTCTCCATTTTCTTCAACTTAGTAAGACAAAGAGGAAAACTCACTTAGTCGCCATTATCATAATAAATTCACCACTAAATTTCAGTTAAATCCACAAGCACCTAGCTGGCGTTACTTATTTATCTTTTAATAAAACACAAAATATTCTAGCTTTGGGTATATTTTTATTAAAAAATTTTTTTTTATAATTTCTATTTGCCATTTCCCGATTACAGTCTTCGGCCTATTTTGAGATTGAGATTGTAGAAATTACATAGAAAATGTTTTCAATTATTTCATTGGTTGAAATGCTGTAAGAAAAAGGTAACGGAATAAGCCGAGGCTTGCCGAAAGATCTCGAAATTTTAAAAGAAGGCTGAGCAACTACCATGGTAGGGCTAATACCTGTAAAAGGCTTATTTAGAAATACAATACCAAGAAATTTTCAAGAATAAAACAGTCTGATATTTTGTGATAGGCATAGATAGTTTGCAGTGGTTTAAAGATTGTTGATAAAGACCGTACGCTTTTTTAGAAATCTCTAATTGTACTTGAAACGACTCGAAGACTTCTAATATAATTAGTCACTAACCACTCGACACCATTAGAAACAAGTATATCATGGAATGTTTTGATCATTTAATAAAATAACGTCAGAAATACTCAAGATGCAGAAAGTCAATTAGGAAGTGTCATTTTAAGATATCCTAAAATGGTACATGTATAAGATGTGGAGTATTGAGTTAAATCTTCTGCTGAATAAACTACATGTACATGAAACAAAATTCATATATTGAATTTAATTAGAAGAAATATAATTCATCGTACTACTTTTCAAAATGAATTTACGTTACACACTATCAGGAATATTTTATAGAGCATATACATGTACATGTAGTAAGGTAATCAATCTATATAGCTTGCTACGAGTCTACAATTTTTTTTTTCAAAGTGGAAATGGGGGGGGGGGGGGGCTTCGGGTTCAACCATCGTTGCAAACCACGGTCAAAGATGTACCATTCTACTCCAGACCGTGGCTTGAGACGATGGGCTTCATTTAACATCGGCATTTGCAATACATATTCTGTACAAAAGAATTTATAATATAGGTTCCGTTACCGAAGCTTAAAATAATATGAGAAGTTAATATTGGTTTTGTGCTATTACTGGTACTTTCACTCCAAGTACGCTTCGTTTGCAGGCCCGTAAAAAGCAATTTCAGTTTGGCATGTTTGGGGTACAGTCATACATTTTCTGGTCCTGCATTGTAGAATTTGTTAACGGTGGGTTAACCTGCGCCACCTTTCAGAGTCTGCAGTGGACTCGTCCAAGGATGCTTTGTCGGCGACTGTAAAAAGTCACCTGAGATCCCTACGCAAAGGAAAGCGCGAAATCTCTGTATAGAAACTATTGCTGCTGCGGAGCCTCACTCATTGTTCATACGCCATAGAATTGAATTCGATTTTAAACACTAATATCTTTGAATATACAGATGTTTTCAGGATAAGCTTCATTTTTGTCTTTAGAAATATTTTTCTCTACAAAAATAATATATTTTTGTGTTTTTAATCTGAGTAAATCGATGGCTAAGCATCGTTTTAGATAACAAAAAAAACATTGACGTCATGTAATTTTTGGCGGGAGTGTAGAATTTTAGCGGGAAAATATCTCGGACTTCTTTATATACTTTAATGAAAAAACCCGAAAACTTCGAAAGAGGATAACGTCATACTTTATTTTGGTTTTCCACGAGTACGCGAGAGAAGCCAAGAAGCCAAAATGACATCTTCAGAGAAAAAAAGAAAGATGGATGAAAATCCGCAACAATCAGACAATACTGAAACCATGGTGACAGGATTTATCCACTGCGTGTCCCCAGTTAAACTTTCGGCAAACGGGAGCAGATATTTTAATATGACAATACAACGAAAGGACGAATACACCGATGCCGTTTCCTTCAGTGCCTCTGCACACCAACAAATGCTAGAAATGTCAAAAAGCAAGTAAGTAACTGCTTTTCTCAATAGCGTCAGTTTAATATATACATTTTTTCATTGTAATTCTAAGTACCTAGATTTCTGAACTCCTATGACGAATTTTCTCCGAGTTATCTTCCTTATACGCCATCTTGGAGGTCACTGCCTACAATCTGTCCCTTTTTGGTGGGGAGGGGGGAGAAGCTTAGCTTAACTTCATAGGAGCTACGTAATTTAGTGCAATGTGGCAGCGATTCACTTCCAGTGGCGGATGAAAGGGGGGCACACCTGGCAATTCCTGGATCCGCGCCTGACTATCGTACAGATTTCGGCTCAAATTGTCAGTAAACGCCTATTTTATAAATATGACAATAATATGTGTTACCTGGACTTCCAAAATGTAGTTATCCAAAACATAAATTGATCTAAAGGAATAACAGAACAATCCATATGTCGGTGTGTCCATATTTTTCGTGTATGTGATTGTCGACACCTGTCCTCAACTTAAATTAATGCGCCATGTTTTCTGACCTTGACAGATTTTATTTTTGGACAGACTCTTTGGAATTATACCTTATTATAAGCCTAAATATTGCTGTTTACAAAAAATGAAACTTGGAATAATTTTATTATACCCCCGGCTTGAAAAGCGGGAGGGAACACAGTAATCATTTATTCCGTCGTTTATTATTCAATAATTTGAATTTTTAAATATTTTTTTTTCCAAATTGTTCTATTTCCACAGAAACGCACGGCAACTTAAACTTTCATATCAAGTAACCGACCACCTCCTGGCAACCGCTGATATTTGCTTTATTGAGTTATTCTTAATTTCAAGCACAAGTCTTTGTACATCATCTGTCATGGCTGCTGAGGAAGACGCACAGATTTATTTTACCGGGGTACATGATTTTCCTGTTTAACAGGCAATCGTGAATGAAAAATTTTGTAATATTAAATGCAAGATGTATGTTGAAACAATTTATTCTGCATGTAGTTGCCCATTTAAAAAAAAAAAAACTTTGCACCATTACGAATCGAGATGCTGTGAAATTGTGGCCCTCTCCAGAAAACATAGGATAAAATCAATAAGCATCACAAGTGACATGGTGTGAAGGACCCTTAAAGCAGAAATACAAACAATATTTCAAAAAAAGGAGAATTTGGCACTTTTCCAAAAATTGTCCAGGTAAAATTTGAATTTGCAATGGTTTGTGTGACTAATTTTCCTTTGGCATTTTACAAATTACAACAACTTTGAAATAAAAATTTGTTTAAGATCCACAGTGTTTCTGTGTATAAACCTCAGCTCCTGGCCTGAAACAAGGTTGATCTCTAACCCTTTACTTTGAGATAAAGGGAAAACACTGACAATTTCTAGTTGTATCTTCAAACAATTTAGTAACTAACAATATAATCATTCATGATAATATATTTACATTTCCAATGTCTTTGTCCGAGATAAATATACCAATTGTAAATTAATGTAATTGATTTCCTCATGAATGTTTTGACGCAGTTAAAAAAAAAAAACCACGTGCAGGGCAGGACAACACCTAGAGAGAAGCAGGCTTGGAGCCCGTGGATTGGCGGAATCAAAGCATGTAAATATGAGGAATTGCTGTCAGATTTTTAGAATTCATGAAGATGATCAATGGATTGGCTTGTGTGATAATTTATGCATAAACGCCTTTGGCATTTATACAAATTATCACACAAGCCAATCCATTGATCACTTCATGAATTCGAAAAATAAGACAGTTATTCCTTAAATAAAAAAACTACTTCAAGAAAAATTATTAAAATCTTTTACATTAGAAATATTTAGACTTAGCCTTGATAAATGTGTACCTAAATTGTAGTTATTTTACTGATTGTAAAAAACTTTCCTGGTTACATTTCAGAACACCAGTGACACTTCACAATATACAGATGTCACCCAGTCTGAAAAAAAGTGGAAAATTTGATGTCAGATATAACCATCGCTCAAATATGACCCCTGCAAGAAACTTGGACTTTGAGTTCCAGTTGCCAGAGCATACAAAATATCGAAGCATAAAAGAAGTAGAGGAAAACCTCAATGCTTTCCAGAAGGTAAAAATCGGATGTTAGCTCAATTTCTGAGAAACAAATGTTAAAAATTTGTGGAATAAATGAAACATATTTAAATTAGTTTTAAAAATAATGTCTGAAGAGTATACAGTTTATCATACCTCCCTCAAACAAAGTCTGGGGGTATATAGGAATCGGCTTGTCCGTCTGTCTGTTTGTGCAAACATGTCCAGTCGGTATCTTTCTTGTGGAGAAACATGAGAATCTATTAATTCACACTAAAATTGGTCATGACCTTGAGCAAAGATCATATGGGGAAGTTGAAGGTCACTGGAAGAACAATTTCTTAATGTGTGTCTGCTCCATATCTATCTTATGGATAAACTTGGTAAGTTCCTTTTTACACAGAGCTTGCTTATGAGCTGAGGTTGTGTCTGATGACTTTGATCCAAGTCATTAAAACAATTAAGTTCAAGTTCACTGACAGAAAAAAGCTTATATATTGTGTCTGCTATTTATGTTAAGTCTTAATTAGACGGGATCACGTGACCCTGTCTTTTACTTTACTCTCAGAGGCCTAAAAATAGAAAACGGATGTCGTGGTGATAACACATGAATTAAATCTACACATACAAAAGAGTGCAGATATTGTTTCGATCAAAACATAAACATTTTGTATCAAACTTCAGAAATTGATATGAACCTTTGTCTGACTCAACTAATAAAGTATTTTGATAATTTAAAACTGAAAATATTAACTGTATAAATAACACTAGTAGACAAAGTACAATCCTACGTATTATTATGAATGTGTACGCATCATCAATTCTTTGCTTCCGGAAAAATTATTAATTTGTACCTGATGAAATTCAGAGCAATTCAGAGACGTTTCTAGACTGAGCAATTATTAAAATTTCTACTTCAAATCAAATGAAATGAAATGTATATTATTCATAGTTTTGTTTTTAGTATGTTAATGAAAAACTAAAGTTGTTATTAAAACTCTTAAGAAAAAAAATCACATTTGTTAAATCTAGCATGAAAATTTTTGACCCCATCTTTCAGTACTGTCTCAGTACTTTGATATTTTTTATTAGGCAGCACCTTTGTTTCATTAACAAAAACCTAGTATAAAGAGCAATTACATTTGCACTAAAAATATTTTCTTTTAGCAATTCTTTAGATCCAAAAAATATTTATCATTTGCCAACTCTGGAAAACCCAGCGGGGTGGAGGGTATTTTCTTCCTTTTGGACAGTTCTGTGGCTTGTTCAGTGTTGTTCATGCACTTGTTAATGGCAATGCATTTCTCTTAAGAAATGAATGAAAATACATACAGTGGATGTAAATATTTACCTATAAATATTTTTATATTTCAGACTTGTGTCAAAGTAAAGATTTTTGAAAAAGGAGAAGCAGATATCCAAGTCCTCAAGTCCGGAACGGAATTACACAAGTGTAAATTAATTGTCTCCGATATTTCTGGAACCATTCCTCTTACAATTTGGGGAGAGGAAATTCAGGAAATCAAGGTTGGCGACTCGTACTCAATTACGAATGTGTCCGTCCGATCTTATGATGGGAAAAGTTTGACTACAAGTCCTGATACGGTTCTAGAAAAGATTGACGACATTGGCAAATGCCTGTACACACCAACAGAAGAAGTGTCAAGAAATCAGAAACAACTTATCATTGATTCCGTTAGCTGTGCTATCAGTTATGTGTGTATTGCATGTCACAAGAGCATCGGATCATTTAATGCCGCAGCAACTTTTCTGAAATGCGCCAAATGTGGAATGAAGCAGAAAACGGCCAACATTCAAAACTCGATGAAATGTCAAATTCTTTGTGGTAAGGAAAGATTCACAATCAATGATTCCGTTATTAAGGCACACAGCATACTTAAAAATTTCACGGAAGCAGAGAAAATTGAAAATCATCTCTTGTCCAATCCAAACGTCACAGTGGAGGTAGCCACAAATGAACCAACAGTTCTGAAAATAATTAACATCGAGTGACTTCCTGTCATTGTCCTTGCCTTACCATCACTAAACTTGCAGTTATCACCATTAAAACTTTTGGATCTTTGGATTTACAGAAACAATATGACAATTAATTTGCCAAACAAATTGCCAATTCATGAACTGATGTCTTGTTTTAAATAGATGGTCTAGTAGATTAAGTAAGATAACTTGTACATGGGCTATGTACTTGTAAGAATTGGGGCGTACAATCTTTTCAAGTTTCAAGCTAGTTGCCTTTTTTTTCTTTTTTTTTCACTATGTTGAAGGGGTCTGGACACAATTTATCGTTGCTTTCAATTTTGAAATAATTATTTTAAGATACATGTACTTTCAGTTTCACAAATTGAACTTGACATGCATTTCTCGTATTACATTGAATGAAACATGAGTCTTTGTAAACAGGGGCCTACATTTGTAGTTGTTTTTGTGCTTATTAATAATATAATTATGTTTTACCAGGTGTTTTAAATTTACGCAAACACAATGCTGATGTATTCCTTCCTTGCATTTTCTTGCATTTTTACTCTATAGTATAAGAACTCATCCCAATTAAAATCCAATATTAATAATTTCCAGACACAAGAATTTTATAAACATGGCTTATATTTATATTGATACAAAATGCTAAAGAAAAGATTTTTTTCCATTATCCTTTAATGTCCAAGCCCCTTTAAAACAGCTGATAATGTATATAAATCTTCGTTCATTTTTTTTTTTATTTGATGAATCACATACCCTTACTTGTGTTTTCAGGCATTTAAATAGTTATACTTCAGCTACTTTTTAATTGAAATGACTAGTCAAGTCCTAATCTTTTTTATGAGATTTTGTACGTACCTTTTATGTTTATTTGATGATTAGCACACCCTTAGTTGTGTTTTCAGGAAAAAGTGATATTTCCATTGTTTTCAGTTTACATAACTACTAAACTAGTCATTTTGTTACTTTCTCGTAGAAGTAGTCAAGTTAAGGCCATAATTAGAAATGTTTTTTCTTTAATCATGTTGATGTATTCCAATCCACATTTTTCAAAGTGAGTAGGTAGTTTATTTATTTTCTTCTTTTTTTTTCTTCACAGTATTGACAAATTAGTAAAAAATCAAACTCAGAAATTTATTAATTTCTTCATTATACACACAGACACTACAAGCATAAATTTATTAACATTTTTGCTACACAATGGATAACCACATATATTTTATATATATTGCCCAAAACATTAAATTACAAGGTATCCTAAAGGAACTATATACCCGGTACCTTACCTTTAAAATTAATCAAATCCTATAAAGAAACAAAATAAAAATTTTTTTAAAATTCAAAGCACCATAAACAATGATTGGGGCAATTTTGATAGGTCGATTGGAGTACATCAAACATGATAATTTATTTTTGGTCTTAATATTTACTTTTTCTTATTACTAAGATATAGTCATTTTCAATCAAACTTTTAAATACGTATAGTAGAATTGTTTTTGTTGATATGTTTAAGTCATGTTGCTGCTGCATTTCTCCAAGTACTTTTTGTAAAAAAAAAAAAAAAAAAAAAAAAAAAAATTAAAATATGCTATTTTATGCTCTAACATTATTCCATTAGTTTTATTGGCTAAAAATAAATGTCAACTTCAACTTTCATCAAAACATTTTGAACAGTCAGAGTGCTATGGTGTTTTTTTTTTTTACTCCTTTGTGCAACTTTTGTCTAATTTTATTACAAATTCAATGCTAAGTCAAATGTATGTCTTCTTTTTCTTGTGCTTAAAATTTCATATTTCTCTGTAAACATGGTAAACCATTTAATAAAATATTTAATTTAAATTATTTTTTCCACTTCAATTTTTAAGTGTGAAGTTTAGCACTATGTCACAACCTATGATAACAGCTGCACTCATAACCGCAAGCTTGACGAATGGAAGTTTCTATTAATCCCTGATTGGTTGTTGTGCAACAGACTATTTCAGTGTCAATGTTGATAATATGAGTTGACTAAGAGCACAGAGGCTGAATTGCATGAAAAAGATTGTGACATAATGCAAAACTTTCCATTTAACTGAAATTGCCATTATATGGCTAACAGTCTAACAAAATTATAATTACATTACAAAAATTATCATTCGACTACCGGCTATTTGATTTATAAGGAGCATGAGCTGTTCATTATCAAGAATATATTTCATGCCCAAGTCACAAACATTCTTATTCAGAGGGAGATTTTGACCTTGGTATATACATGAAAAGTTGTTAAAATCTGCTGCATATAAGCAGCACACCTGTGATTAGTTACTTAAGAAATCACTGTCTATTTGGGAGAGTATCCCAGGGCATCAACAATAATGGGATTATTTGCATAATGTGCAAATATCTGGATTGATGGATTAAGGACCTTGAAGAACAGAGTAATGTGGCAGTCTGCTAGCCAGATACCTTAATGTACCACCTGACTGCAGATTCAAAGATCCTAGTTCAAATCCCAGTTTCATCAGCTGCATTTTTCTCCTACCCAATTGCAATCGAATCGGTATGCTAGCAGCTACAGAAAGTCGTGCAGATACCATTTTGTCTAGTAAAATTTGAATCATGATCCCCGGAAATAGAATCTACCTTTTACGGTACATAGAAATACATAGATAATTATAAGTTAAAAGCATCTGTAGGAGGTATAGATTTACTTACAAGTATATTTGTACAAACCCTCCCTCCCCTGTACTCAATTCAATACTGAACTCATTTCATCTTCTACTTAGCAAGTTTTTTTCGAGGTAAACTAAATAAATATCGAAGGCATGGTGCCTGGAAATTTCATGAATATCAATAGATAATCAGGGTCAAGCGTTTTTCATCTTCTGAATACATAGTCAGCACATGTTTGTCGGCTGTTCTTAAGAAAACTGTAGTTGTATATTGAACAAAATAATGTTATATTAAAAGGAGAAGAGCCGACAAATGTGTGCTCACACTTAATTTAACAAAAAACATGTTCGAAAGAAACGTCTCGCTTCCATTGTTATGTCTTCGATTGACCTGTTTAATATTACAATTCATCAAGTGATGTTCACCTGCAAGTGTACTCGTGAAAACAGTTACATTGTATTCTTCAACCTGACCTCGATCTAAATTATGTCTTTGAACGGGTTTTGTTGCCGTTTTCACAATTTAGCAAAATAAATATTGTTTTGATTTTGCGTGTCATCACATTTTTAAAATAATGACATCGCTGTAATATGCACGTATTCGAATTTCTGGAGAGAGAGAGGGGGATAGAGAGAGAGATTCAACAATGACGCCGATCCATAGCCCCGCCTCATAAATATTGATTGTGTGACCTAAAAACCACTCCGGGTACATGTCGAATTCTGGAAGACGATGCTCATGTATCGTTGTTTCAATTTTGATACATGACAACATGGCATTGTTTTTGCACAAATATTCCGCCTAATATAACCAAGTATATGTAGCTCTTTCCATTGCTCGTAACATATTTTGGATTCACTTCATTTAAAGCTTAGTAGAAGAGTCGCAAAAAGATCCAAAATAGGGCGTTAAGTCCACCCATTCTTTAATGCCAATTTCCATCTATTTTATACCTGCAAAAATCTCATAAAATAAATGAAGTTTTATTTGTATTAAAATATTCCGTCATAATATTATTTACTCTTAACTTAAGAGAAATGTGTACCATGCTATAAGGTGCTTGCGGGGAAATGGTAAATTTCTATTTCTATGAAGTGAACATTAAGCGTATGTTGCATAACAGTTCAGTAAGTTGTAAAGAGTTAAAGTGAACCTATCTCTTTATCAATATTTGTCTTGTAGATACTTTAAATATTATACTTTGTTTTTAGTTCAAAAGTTAAATATTGTACTTTGTTATCAGTTTACAGATTTCACTAGAAGGAAGTTGATATATGCCGAAAATGTAAGGTGTATTTTGTCGTCATGGAGACTTGTTAGAGAAGATCAAGGTTCATAGGCTTTGTTTTATTACATTCATAATCCATAGCTTGAATTTGTCTCGCTTGATCTTTTAAGATATTTTCATTTTATTCCTTAGATAGTTTCATCCATAACGTGAATTTTTGATTATTAATCTTGTCTATGAGATATTTTCACATAAACATGCTCTTGTAGGTACAAACTACATTGAAGTCAGGAACTTTATCCAGGAGGAAAATGATGACAAAAAAAAGAAAGAAATCAAAGTATTATCAACAACTGACGTGGAAGTCATACTGGAAAACAAGTATTAACAGTTGTTTGACAATTCTGAATAAGAATCTGATTTGTCAGTGCTATAAATATATGAGGCTATATCAAAATCTAAGTTGTTTGTCAGAGTAGTTCAATGACTTGTGAAATATTATTTCATCAAAATCGATGACCATGCGAGGCAACAAAGTTTAAAGTAGTAGACAAGCAGCACTGAAAAACAAGCCAAAATTTTATTTTAATGTGTACATGAATTGTAGTTTTTTTACTCTTTTATTCTTAATTGCAGAGATCAATTAAAACCAGGCTGTTTAAATGTAGTTGGAGAAGTCAGCTGTCTCAGTGAGATTATCAAGTAATTCTTTATTAACAAGAGTTCAGACAAATGCTACTCCATTTATCTTTGATATCTTTTCTATCTTAAATTGATAATTGTATTAAAATAAATTTTGATAATTTTGTGTTTCTCGATTCTGTGTGCCTTGATAATTCCATGTGTAAATTTGATAAGTGACTTCTTTGAAAATTACTTTTTTTTTATTTTTGTGTCCCCCTTTGAAGAAGAGAGGGCATATTGCTTTACTGTTTTTTGTCAGTTATTTCGTCTGTTGGTCCACCATAAAATTGGGTATAATCAAGAAATTTTTGACAGAGTTATGCCTCTTGGACTTAGAAAAATTTCAATTATTTGCAGTTTGTTCATTTTCTTTGCAGAGGCTGAAGTTACTGAAATGAAATTTGGTATACAGATTTATCATAAGAATTTGTTTTGGGTACAATTGAGAAATTTTTGACAAGAGTTATGCCCCTTGGACTAAGAAAAATTCCAATTATTTGCAGTGTTTATTAGCTCTACTGGTCAGAGACCAGAAGAGCTTATGCGATAGTAATGCGTCCGTCGTCCGTCCGTCTGTCTGTCTGTCTGTCTGTCTGTCTGTCCGTCTGTCTGTCTGTAAACAATTTTTCAAAATGCTACTCCTCCTACAGTTTTGGTCTGATTTCAGTATAACTTGGCACACAAGTAGACTACAATAAGATACACAATTCTGTGTATCGGTTTTTGATTTCGATGAACGGTGTTGCCGTGGTTACTAAAAATAGAAATTTCTGTGAAATTCTTTCAAAATGCTACTCCTCCTACAGTTTTAGTCTGATTTCAATATAACTTGGCACACAAGTAGACTACATTAAGATACATAATTCTGTTTATCTGTTTTTGATTTTGATGAACGTTGTTGCCGTGGTTACTAAAAATAGAAATTTCTGTGAAATTCTTTCAAAATGCTACTCCTCCTACAGTTTTAGTCTGATTTCAATATAACTTGGCACACAAGTAGACTACACTAAGATACACAATTCTGTGTATCGGTTTTTGATTTCGATGGACGGTGTTGCCGTGGTTACTAAAAATAGAAATTTCTGTGAAATTCTTTCAAAATGCTACTCCTTCTACAGTTTTAGTCTGATTTCAATATAACTTGGCACACAAGTAGACTACAATAAGATACATAATTCTGTGTATCAGTTTTTGATTTCGATGAACGGTGTTGCCGTGGTTACTAAAAATAGAAATTTCTGTGAAATTCTTTCAAAATGCTACTCCTTCTACAGTTTTAGTCTTATTTCAATATAACTTGGCACACAAGTAGACTACAATAAGATACATAATTCTGTATATCGGTTTTTGATTTCGATGAACGTTGTTGCCGTGGTTACTAAAAATAGAAATTTCTGTGAAATTCTTTCAAAATGCTACTCCAAATACAATTTTAGTCTGATTATAATATAAATGTGGCATGCAAGTAGACTGTACTAAGAACTTAAAGAGACTTAATCAAGGATCATTATTCTATTTATTGCTGTTGAAAAGTTTCAATTTCCAACTGCTTAAGTACTTTTCTCTTTCTTTGCTATAAGTACAAACCAGTAGAGCTTCAGTCTCGACAGAGACTTCTGGTTCATTTTCTATGCATGTTCATGTATGTCCAGGGGGAGGGGCATTAGTGTTTTATAAACATTTCTTGTGTTTTTAGAATTAAAGAGGATCTAGTATTTTGCATCAAACTACAGAAAAATGTCACCATTATTATTAAGGTACTTAATAATTTATTTCATTTGATATGAAAAATATTGTATAATGAAAAAAAAAATTATATATATACTGTGAACATCTTTTCTTATTTTCAGCCAATGGTGAAGTGAAGTTTAAGTATATGAATTCATTTATTGTGCTTTGTTTAGTTACTTATGCAAACATTTATAGTATTATGTTGTCATTGGGAGCAACAGAATTTCTGAAATTTGAGAATTGACACATTTTCATATTAATGATCTTTATCTATCTCCTCATCATTTGATAATGTTGATGATTGATTTGAATGCAGGACAGGAAGTACCTACACTGGCATGACCTTTTGACCCCACAGAAAGAGTTCCTGTTTTTGGGCCTACTTCCTACTACTCTATATAAGGTAATATTACTTACATAGTTTTATAGTGACAGGGTGCGGGATGATACCTGGTTAGTAAATTTGATATCTGGCAAGGGCAAGCCATGACAGTCATGACAGAAATGGGTAAAGAAATACAAGATAGAAAACTAACTCAATTCTATGCATTGAATATACAAACTAATCAGCCCCTTGGCCTTCAACATTATTCGTTATCTAGGGTCAATCAAAGGTGTACTGAGATTTGCCTGGAGTTTTATTCTATATTCATTACCGGTACAGTATAATTTGTCCAAACCGGCTATCGCTGGTTCCATAAAATTTGGCCGGTTTAGACAGACTCCGGAGTGCAGGAAAAATGCAGGAAACTATTAATTTTTGAAAATTTCGTTGTTTATTTACAAGACATCATATGTACATAATATAAAATATAATTGAATGATGAAATTAATCAATATTTTGGAGTATAGAAATCATAAAATACTCTCGCATGACTCACTGTACATATTTTCTTGGTTGTTCACGAAGTTTGAAAGTCGGGTGAAATGTTACCTAAATCAAAATCTACAGGCACGCATAATATAGGCTTACTATATATCAAGTGGACCGGGTTTCGCTTGTCAAAGAGCTCATTCAATGTATAGACAGTAATGCACAATTATTTACGATGTGCTAATTATTGGATTGAACTTTTAATTTTTATGTAAAAAATTACGGTTATGGCGCCATTTTGAAATGCGTTCGATTTTCGATCCCGATTTATATTTTGATTTTTTAATCGCGTACATATAATTTTTGTGTTTATGTTATAATGTGGTAAAAGGAGTTAAAACAAAGTTAATGTTTTTTTAAATTGTAATTTAATCATATAATAGTTTTCAAGTGGGCTGTGTCACCGCCGCATTTCATCGCATCTCATGGCACTAATCATGCTAATGCAAACACGGATTATCACATCCACCACGAAAGGTATTAATTGCTTTGAAGTAACTCAGGTGTGGCCGGATTAGAGGAAATAATTACCGTTAATTATGAGCAGTTGGGACCAGTATGGCCGTTCGGAATACAGAATAGACAGTATCCGGACTACACAGAATTTTTTCTAATGAATTTGTTAAAGAAGTGCATGGGACTAAAATTTATAGACGGAATGGACAAAAATCCGGAGTACTCAGAGTCCGGATTAGACAAATTTTACTGTACTACTTTTAGTGAAACAAAACATGAAACCTCTCTCAATTTGTTTCACCCCTAATAATGTTGTACATAGTGACAGTAATACTACTACTCCACACCCCTAATGATGGCGTACACAGTGACAGTAATACTGTTAGTTTGTTGTTCTCTCATGGGCTTCTCACTAATGCTATACAGTGTACAACTAATCTGATGACATTTTTACTTTATTTTTATGATTTCTTAGCATTGAATCCTGAAGTAATAAAAACATTTTTTACAGGGGACACCTCAAGAGAAAAAAGTTCTGGTTCCCTGGAAGAAATCTGATCTTTTAGCCCCTACTGTGGAAAATATTGAGGTCATTTCTCTCTCTGTAAGTTTCCAATGCAATTAATATATGTGCAAGTTCATTTTAGTAATTTTCTGTAATCATGGTAACAAGATGCATACATTTTTTCCAAATCATTTTAGATCAGAACTTGGAAAAAAAAGTACTGTGTAATGAGTGTGTTTATAAATTTGTCTAAATGTGTCAATATTACTCGAATTTAGAAGTAGATAAGATCATTTGATGATCATTTCATCATATTTATTTGTTTAACACAAAGTATTTATGAATGCATGTATAACATTAAAAGATTACTTATAAAGAAATGGTTAAGTGAAAATTGCAAGGATGAGAAGATTTCGTTATTAAATCCAGAAGATTTGACCCGAGTGCCTGAGGACCAAGAGTTTTGTTCCTATCAGGTCTGTGTCATAATGTCAGTTTGTATAACTATTATATCAAGTCTCTGTATTGAAATGTCAATATGTATTAACTATTATATCAAGTCTCTGTATCAAAATGTCAATATGTATTAACTATTATATCAAGTCTCTGTATCAAAATGTCAATTTGTGACATATTAGGGTTTTAATTATTTCTTAATTATTAAGTTAGTATGTATCATATCATACCACATGTTATGTAGAGTGTTTAATCATTTCAGGGAGAGATAACTAATGTGGACTTGGAGAACTTTGGGTTGTATCAACTGGATAAAACTGTTTGGTATGTATTATCTCCCTTCCTACCAGATCTTCAAAAATGCAGAATAATGCATTATTGTATGAAAAACTAATGACAATTTCCATTGGAACTCCAAAGCTATGAATTAACACCATTTTGAAAAGTAAACTTGGTGGGTTTTTTTATCAAGATCCTTTTGTCCCATTTATTCATTAAAGTATTCAGGAACTTAATGCCATTGCTGTATCTGTTAGCTTTCAATCTGTTGAAGTCTAATTTTTTTAGCAATGTAATATGTTGATATAAAGTTTAAACACTGGTCCACACAGGGTGTTGTTCAGCAGTGTGTCACAGCATCATTATCACAGAAGTTTTTATCTGGGTTCCCACGTCACAGTGTACAACAGTCATATGGTGGCCTCCAAACAGGTAATGGTCATACGACACTCAATACAGATTCTAAACAGATAAAAATCAGAGATATTATATTACAACAGTCATATGGTGGCCTTTGAAACAGGTAAAGTCCTACAACACTTGGTACAGATTCTAAATAGATAAAAATCATAGATTCTGTTTGTCTTCTTTTCTGAATTCATAAAAAATACCCTTTTTCCACTTTGAATGTTAATTTTCTCTCTAAAATTAAAGAACATACAGTTTGATATATAATATTAAGCTGTTTTGATTTACCCAAAGAACTACCAGTATATGAGGTATATTGCATATACTTGCCCCCACAAAAGTCAAATTTTGAAAACTTCCTGAAATGTGCTGAATTCAATAAATTGTATGAGAAATATAAATTAACAGAACATATTATAGTTTCAAAGTAGTTTATTCACAATTTTTGTTTTTATTACGTCACAAACTAGTCCGATTTTATATCCTTTTTCAGAAAGAGGACAAAATGGACAAAATTTCAACAATTTTAGCTTTGAAATTTATAGAGCGCATGTTTGTTCAGGAACAATATTTACATATTTCATTGATATTATCATTCTACACATTATATCAAAATATTGATCCTGAACACACATGCGCTCGGTGACTTTTACTCAAAATATCAACGAAATATGTACATTTTTCTGTAGAATTCATAAAAAAACTGAAATTTACGTCATGTTTGTGACGTCATAACATACATATGACATCATTACTTATGAAAATATTCAGTGCTTTGAAGTCAGCATATACTCCCCTGTTTAAGAACTTAATTTAAATATACCTCCATCAAAGTTTGATTTGGGGGGCAAATATTGGTTATTACCGAATAAAGTTCTTTCCCCCAAACGGTGAAACGGTCACTAATTACCAAATGTTAAGGCTTCAGCTACAGTCCCCAGAAGTGGGATGGGGGCCCTGCTGACTTAGTGTTCACAATCCATGTAGGTACAGCTCACAAACCCAGAAATGTTCTTTTACAATTTTCGTTTCCTTAATGTTCTGTGTGCATTCACCATGTGCTCCATGTTCACAGTCAAAATACATAGGATGTAGTGAAATTGTGTGTGTGAAGTTGACAGGAAAACCTATGTTTATCTTATCTCAACTTAATGTTTACTGACCATAGTGCTATTATGCACCTATTATACATTTAATGTGAAACAATTTGAGTTTCCCATAGCAGAACAGGACACTGCCATTCTTTATAATTTTAGGGGCTCCCGTCTATCATATTCACTGTTCACAATTCCTCTAGTTTAATTGGGCATTCTAAGAACATGTCTATCAGAGTATCATGTATTTCATTGATTATTATATCGCTGATGCATGGTTTCTTTGAATTTCAGGTTCCCAAGATTTGTTTTCTCTGCTGTACCTGTAGTTGTATCCGAGTGTCCCAGTTCTCTGACCTCCCTCCACAAACTAAGGTAAGAATCAAAGACACAATTCTCTGACCTCCCTCCACAAACTAAGGTAAGAATCAAAGACACACAATTCTCTGACCTCCCTCCACAAACTAAGGTAAGAATCAAAGACACAATTCTCTGACCTCCCTCCACAAACTAAGGTAAGAATCAAAGACACAATTCTCTGACCTCCCTCCACAAACTAAGGTAAGAATCAAAGACACAATTCTCTGACCCCCCTCCACAAACTAAGGTAAGAATCAAAGACACAATTCTCTGACCTCCCTCCACAAACTAAGGTAAGAATCAAAGACACACAATTCTCTGACCACCCTCCACAAACTAAGGTAAGAATCAAAGACACAATTCTCTGACCTCCCTCCACAAACTAAGGTAAGAATCAAAGACACAATTCTCTGACCCCCCTCCACAAACTAAGGTAAGAATCAAAGACACAATTCTCTGACCTCCCTCCACAAACTAAGGTAAGAATCAAAGACACACAATTCTCTGACCACCCTCCACAAACTAAGGTAAGAATCAAAGACACAATTCTCTGACCTCCCTCCACAAACTAAGGTAAGAATCAAAGACACACAATTCTCTGACCTCCCTCCACAAACTAAGGTAAGAATCAAAGACACAATTCTCTGACCTCCCTCCACAAACTAAGATAAGAATCAAAGACACACAATTCTCTGACCTCCCTCCACAAACTAAGGTAAGAATCAAAGACACAATTCTCTGACCTCCCTCCACAAACTAAGGTAAGAATCAAAGACACAATTCTCTGACCTCCCTCCAAACACAGAGGTAAGAATCAAATACACACAATTTTCTCCTTCCACAAATAGAGGTAAGAGAAGCACCATAACACATCTACCTACATGTGTAAAAATAGATTTCAAATGCTTAATTTTTTTTTTTACAGTACTAACATTCCAATATTCGAAAAAAGTCATTGAAGTCAACTGGGTATGCAGTAATACTTCCACATTATACATACATATTTAAATTACTATATAATCACATATGATAAAATAAGGCTTGTGGGCCACAACGCTTAGCTGAGAAACTAAGGCCCTTCAGTTCATTTAAATAAGCAGAATTGTTTGATTTATATTCTAAGGGTTGGACCTAAATGTGAACTTAGTTTGAACAAATTAAAACCTCTATGACTTTTGGCAGGTGTGACCGTCAACAGGGGATGCTTACTCCTCTTAGTCATCTGATCCCACCTCTGAAGTCTCCAGGGCTTTATATTTTATACCCTCATCAAAGATTTGTATTTGTTATAATTTATTATTTTGATGGTAGTAGAAATGTCTTAAAATTGTAAGGAGTGTTGTAATTGTTGAGTGTCCTTTGTAGTTGTAATTGTTGAGTGTCCTTTGTAGAACATAAGATTGTCGGAGTTTGTCAGACGCCAGCTATGGAGGTATTCAGTCTGCAGTACATGGATGCTCCAGTTTGCCAGTTTCCTCATTTCACTCTACTCCAAGTTCAGCTCTCTCTGGTAAAGATTATACTCAACTCGTAAATCCTATATTTTCACTTTTAGTCAATGCAAGAGATCTATGCAAGTGTCGAAGAATTTTGCAGGGATCTCTGTTGAAATTGCATATGCAGGTATTTTACCAGAAAATACATTTAGTCGTGGTTAGATTATTTTTGAAAGAAATCCCTCTTGAAAAAAAAAAGTCAGAAATGTTTGATTGATTATGAGAGATATAAAATGAATGACAAGTAAGCAAAAAGTTTGAAATTTTTTGGATAAAAAATAGAATATTATTAAAACAATGCAATTCAGTAAATTAAACAAAAGCCCAAGTTGGATTCAAAATTAGAACTTGTGGTTCACGAGTCAGATACTCTTATCACTTGGCTATGAAACTGGTTTACTAAATTAATCTTTACCAACAAATTTACAAAACATTTAAATTTTCTAATTTGTCTTACAAGTTTATTGTACATGTATTTGTGTACAGAGTCACCCAAATAAGCTTAACATTGTATAGTTTTTAACTTAGTTATGCCCCTTAAATATAAGAAAGTTTTTTTGCAAACAATTTTAAAATTGAATATAGCATTTGAAGTTTTTGCAGCTGCAAGGACACTTTGTGGCATTATAACACATCTAGATTCATTTTAACTTAGCCCCCCCCCCCCCCCCCCCCCCCACACACACACACATACAAATTTTTCCCTTCCTGGTTTTAAGTTCTCAATTCTGTTTGCTAAACACTTAAATAAATTCAATAAAACACAGTGAGACTGCAGTTGTATTTTGTGTAATCAATATTAGTACTTTTGCATTTAAATATCATTTTAAAAAGACTTTAATTTTTTTAATTAGCGAGTTGTCTTGTAAAATTGCAAATGCACCTTGTTGGTACTCACAATCATTTGTAATTATATATATATTTAGGAATTTTTTACTCCTGACCATTCATCATTTCTGGGACAGTAGGAATAAAAATATATTCTTGAAGTATTATAAAGCACACACATTTTTTTCATTTAGATTCTTGTGTATAATAGACTATGGGCCTCTTTTATAGTCCTCAGTTTGATTTGTTGTTGTTTGAGAGATTGGAGAGATACAGACCCACGCTGAGCGTCCAAAAAGAAATTACCTACAGGAATTCCTGTCCTCCCCTCACAGCTGTTTTCTGTACCAGTCCATACCCGAGATGGAGGTAGGTGATTGTCTGTAAGAGTTACCTCCCTGGCACTGTTTAAAATAAATTACCAATAAAATATACTTTGGTAATTATCCAGTTCTCTCTGTTTTACTGGATGATAGATAAGGAAATATGAAGCTGTTTCAAGTATTGCAGTCCTATATCAAAATGTTCTGAATTACTCTCTAGTTTCAGCCAATGTGTCCACTTTTCCCTGACTTGGTTCTGTGTTCTGATATCAGTTTTGACACAAAAGCAATACACAGAGTCGGGCACCATCTTATTCAGGGCCTGAGAAATACAGACAGACTGAATAGTGTCCTCTACTGGCTTTATCATACCGAGGACAACCAGCAAAATAAAACAAAGGTAAACTGAACAGTGTCCTCTACTGGCTTTATCATACCGAGGATAACCAGCAAAATAAAACAAAGGTAAACTGAATAGTGTCCTCTACTGGCTTTATCATACCGAGGATAACCAGCAAAATAAAACAAAGGTAAACTGAATAGTGTCCTCTACTGGCTTAATCATACCGAGGATAACCAGCAAAATAAAACAAAGGTAAACTGAACAGTGTCCTCTACTGGCTTAATCATACCGAGGACAACCAGCAAAATAAAACAAAGGTAAACTGAATAGTGTCCTCTACTGGCTTTATCATACCGAGGACAACCAGCAAAATAAAACTAAGGTAAACTGAACAGTGTCCTCTACTGGCTTTATCATACCGAGGATAACCAGCAAAATAAAACAAAGGTAAACTGAATAGTGTCCTGTACTGGCTTTATCATACCGAGGACAACCAGCAAAATAAAACAAAGGTAAACTGAATAGTGTCCTCTACTGGCTTTATCATACCGAGGACAACCAGCAAAATAAAACAAAGGTAAACTGAATAATGTCCTCTACTGGCTTTATCATACCGAGGACAACCAGCAAAATAAAACAAAGGTAAACTGAATAATGTCCTCTACTGGCTTTATCATACCGAGGACAACCAGCAAAATAAAACAAAGGTAAACCGAATAGTGTCCTCTACTGGCTTTATCATACCAAGGATAACCAGCAAAATAAAACAAAGGTAAACTGAACAGTGTCCTCTACTGGCTTTATCATACCAAGGATAACCAGCAAAATAAAACAAAGGTAAACTGAATAATGTCCTCTACTGACTTTATCATACCGAGGATAACCAGCAAAATAAAACAAAGGTAAACTGAACAGTGTCCTCAACTGGCTTTATCATACTGAGGACAACCAACAAAATGAAACAAAGGTAAACTGAATAGTGTCCTGTACTGGCTTTATCATACCGAGGATAACCAGCAAAATAAAACAAAGGTAAACTGAATAATGTCCTCTACTGGCTTTATCATACCGAGGATAACCAGCAAAATAAAACAAAGGTAAACTGAACAGTGTCCTCTACTGGCTTTATCATACCGAGGATAACCAGCAAAATAAAACAAAGGTAAACTGAATAATGTCCTCTACTGGCTTTATCATACCGAGGATAACCAGCAAAATAAAACAAAGGTAAACTGAACAAAATAAAACAGTGGTAAACTGAACAGTGTCCTCTACTGGCTTTATCATACCAAGGATAACCAGGGAAATGAATCAAAGGTAAACTGAATAATGTCCTCTACTGTCTTTATCATACCGAGGATAACCAGCAAAATAAAACAAAGGTAAACTGAATAGGACAACCAGCAAAATAAAACAAAGGTAAACTGAATAGTGTCCACTACTGGCATTATTATACCGAGGATAACCAGCAAAATGAATCAAAGGTAAATTATGTATTGTTTATAGGTGTATACCTGTGTATATTGTTTACAGGTATCAATGTATACATACGTATTGTTTGCAGGTTTCAATGTATATATATGTATTGTATACAGTTTTCAATGTATAGTAGACATGTGAAAAGTATTTAATTATAGAACAGCTTCATCTGACCCATTATTTGCTTATGTGCTTGTTTAATATAAACCACACACTGTCTAAATAAGAGGTACTCCTGTATTCCCAAATTAAAAAAATTGAGTTAAGTATTAATTGATCTTAGAAAATATTTAAACCATACATATCTGTGAAATGAGCTTAAAACACTGACCCTGGAATTTCCAGAAGTGGGATCAGCTGCCTAGAAGGAGTAAGCTCCCCCTGTTGACTGTCACACAGACTGTAATGATTCAGTGACAAAATAAAGGAAATCCCTGCCTTTTTCAATCATCTTAAAATCATGATATATATTTTATCAGCAGATTAGTAAAAATAGGCTTTTTAAATCAAGTCTCATTTTATTCCAGGGTTTAATTGGATTTTATTTATTTCAGGTTTTGATTGGCTACATAGATTTCAGTTCAGAGAGTAGTAAAATTCTTCTTCGAGATGATACAGGGTGTCACAAATGTCTAATATTAATGGATCAGGAAATACAGCAGCATTCATTATCCTCATTAAATGGATGTTTAGTGGCTGTAAAGAGGTACAGTGTGGTGTCTGAAAAGTTCCAAGTTTGTCAGTATCCAAACCTGGGTTCCTATGGAGAAAAGAAGTATGTGTCTGATGTCAGAGAGAAACTCTATCTGACGATGTCATTATCTGACGTGGAGGTCTTGATAGAGAACAAGAGAACTAGGGACAGTGGTAAGGGTGAGGCAGCACTGTGTTGTATCATTCACAAGGAATCCCTGCTGTTAGAGGGAGTGAACTGTGGACAGCCTCGTCTGAGGTTTACAGCTGTAGGCTATTTCCTGGATAAGTCCTGGTCAGAAGAGAGGATTCACAGCTTTGTGATGGAGGCTCTCAAGTTTTGGGACAACAGGAATGTGACAAGAGACTCTGATAGAGTTAATGGACAGGGTGTTCAGTTTACCTCCCCCCACATCCTGCTGTTCCAGGGTAAGGCTGTACAGTGGTACGAAGCTCTCCTTCCTGGTCATCTGTACTGGTTCTCCTCAGGGGAGAGACTGGTACCCGACTCCATAAACTGCCCTCAGCAGTCTATAAAGAAGGCAGGGAAACAAGCAGGAGGAAAAACGTGTATCTCTGTCCCAGAGGATCTGGGTGTGAAAGAAGAATTACTCAACTTTAGATGTACACAACAGGTAAAAATAAACTTATAATGTAAATCACAGAAGTATATGAACTCTCCTGATTAACCTGTAATTTTTATGACTTTTTACTCCTTAACACAATCTACCATATCAAACAAAAATCTTAAAATTTAATGATTTTTCATCAGTCATGATTCCAAAATTACAATGAACAACACTTTTGCAAGACAGATACTTCAGTACTAGTATATTGTCAAAAAAATCTTTTCGACCTCTATTTGGAGTCTGTGTTTATGTATATTTTAAGGCATCGCTCAAGTACAAAATGTTGTTTTAGATAAACTCACTTAAATTGTCTGCATTGAAATAGTAAAGTTAACTGAAAAAAGTTCAATGTTTTGAACAAATAGGTACAAAAACTATTGATAGCACCTATTTGGAGTGGACAGGTCTGATAATACCAAGAAGAATGAGGTGTAGTCTGTAATTTTAATTGTTTTTAATTTTGAAATTTAAATAAATGCATGTTTGAAACTTTGTCAACATGCAGAATAACCAAATTTTGCAAAATCATAATATATTGTTTATAAAAACTGTGAATTCTTAAATTTTGAATATAATAATTCAATGATTTATATGAATCTTGCTTATCAAACACAAAGTTATTTAATCACTATTAATTTTTATATATCCAATGTATAATGGAGTAGACAATTTTTTAGTATTAAGGAATGTACTTTACTTCTTACATGCTGTAACTATTTTTTTTGGTAAAGAGGAAAAACAACCATTGAATCTCATACCATTTAAAAACAACTTCTCTATTATACAGTTATGGAATGGGAACTCGGGAAATAGCAAATTTATGGTTACTGTAGGCGGCTTTTCAGAAGTGCTGTGTTTGCTATTTGAATATCCCATTCCATAACAGTTTTATTACACCAAAACAATCATAGGCGATTTAATTAAATTTTTTTTACTAGATATTCCGACTTTTCATTTTATATAAACGAAAACAAAAATTGCTGAGAGCTATAGTCAGTGCTGTTTGCGAAGTACTGAAAATTTTGTGTAAAATAATTGCTAAAAATTTCCACTTCGCATAAATTCTGTTACAAATAAAAATAATGTTATGCAGACCATGATCAGCTCCCAGCACTTTTCAAAAGATATACTATATAAGCAGTAAATATTCCATATTTCAGCTCAAGCAAAACAGTCTATGCCCTTTTACTTTTGATGTAAATAGTGCTTATCAGCAGAGATTCCTACATTCCTTGTCCCTGTGCAATTTTCTTTCAATTCATATTGTTCAAATTGTACTTGATAAATTATTTTCTTTGAATTTTAATGATTAGGTTTAAAACAGGAAAATTTTAAGCATTCTTGTAATTATTAAACCATGAATTTTGATCACCTATGTTCGTCTGCAAGGCTGATGATGTCATATATATGGGCAAGATTTTCTTTTACTCGACTGTATTGCTAAAGTATTGCAATTTTACATGATTTTATAAACAATTGATAAAATAAAAAATTAAAGTTGTTATTTATGAATTTAAAATTTTTGTGGCTTGTTAAATTTTCATGACAACAATTAAACTTGCAACTTTGTGTGAATGTGAATCTGACCTTCCTTAACAAGCTAAACAAATAAAAAATAATTCCTAATTCTTATCATACAATTTATTTGGATATAAAACAATTTTACATAACACAAATTATATATAATTTTTAAGGAACCAAGATGAATTTTTATTTTCGATGTTTTTTGAAAACTTTATAATGCATGAAACTATTGCAATGTTAAAATTAAATATTTCAGAAGTGCTGTGTATGTTTGAATATCTGCCCAGTTACAGACATTAGTGAAATCCTCAAAGAGAAGTGAGTTTGGTTTATTTTGCAGGCTAGAAAACCAATAATTTAAAGGACAAAACATGTACAGCATTGAACCATTCAGTATATCAATTTTTCATTAAGGCAGTGTTGCCTTTAGTTGAAGAAACAAGTTGATAATATGCTTCAATTTAAAATTCTTTCAAAATTTAAAGCAGTAGAGTTAAAGTCTGTTCAGAACCTTCTGGTTTCCTTTTATTTAAAGAATTTATTAATAATATATTACAAATAGTTTCTGTGCTTAGATCATGAAATTGAAGTTACTGCAACACTAGTTTTACCAAATTTTGGTTTATATGAAGTTCATCCAAATATTTGCCTGTGTATCCAAATCCCAATGTGGTATTTGAAGTAATAATTTGAAATTTTCTTTATCAACAGTTGTTCTGCTCAGATTGTTAGTTTGGAGGGTAGAATTAAGAGTAGAAGACACCTGTCAGGGGAGAACAGACCATTTTACACGAAGGCCTCCAAGGGTACCTGCTCACAGCTTTGTAAGGCTCTGCTGACCAGTTTATAATACACTGAAAAATATCCGTAATTAATCAAAATATGGAATTATATATTGTTTTATGATACTAGGCATTAGCATTGTTTTATTGTGTTTTATACTTTCATTGTATGAAGTCTTATTATCGTTGTTTTAGGTGTATCTACCCTAGACAACCAGAAGATAAGCTTGGTGGTGTCCAGCCGGACTGGAGGAGAGGGGCCGTCTAGCCTGACTGAGGCCCAGGAGGAGGTGGTGGTGTATATGGCCTTGAACAACATCAGTTATCCCCTGGGTCTTCTGCCTGGTCATGTGATCAGGTTCCACAATCTGGAGAGGAAGGTGTCCCACAGCGGCTCGGTGTACTGTCAGTATGTGGTCATTTCCTCAGTGATAGTTCTATCAACTCAATCACAGCATCTGGATAGGTAAGTCAATTTTAGTTAGACTTATAATATAATGGGGGGTAAGAGTTAGGAGAGGAAGGTATCCTACAGTGACTCCGTGTACTGTCAGTATGTGGTCGTTTCCTCAGTTAGAGTTCTCAGTCACAACATCTTCATAGGTATGCAAATAAAATGTTCAATAGATTTATCTTGGTCATATTGGTCTTCAAATGTATAGAAATTAATGCATTAATTGATTACAAATTGAGTAAATCATAATTTTGTAAATTAAAGTGGAGATTAAAATACATGTACCATAAAATCAAAACATCTTGATAGGTATTCAAATAAAATGTTCAATAGATTTATCTTGGTCATATTGGTCTTCAAATGTAAAGAAATTAATGCTTAAATTGATTACAAATTGAGTAAATCATAATTTTGTAAATTAAAGGGCAGATTAAAATACCATAAAATCAAAACTCTAAAGTGCATTGTATATAGGTTATTAAGCTTTATAGACCTTAGATTATTTCATATATTTTATTCATCTAGTGAAATAAACACCAAAGAGACAGAAGATGCAACATGGGAGAATGTTCCTCTTCAGCGACTCTATGAGGGATGGAGATTACCGAGCCTAACAAAGTTACAGTGTGTTTGTCATATCCACAATATTACAAAGCTGGCATTTAAGAGCACCTGTCTTAACTGTAGTTCTGTGATTTACCAGGGAACCTGTACAAATCAGCTCTGTGATCCTGGTCATGGCACCAATTTCTCAGCTTCTGCATGGTAATCATATTTTGCTGGACTTGAATATAACCATGAAGAATTTGATATCAAATTCATTGTTATGTGAAGTTTTTTTAGGGTTATGTTTAGTATGGTACACTTTCTTTGAACTTTTCCCCAGTTTTTCTGTAGACGATGGGACATCATTTGCAAGTGTGAAGTGTTACTCTACAGTTGTTCAAAGACTTTTAGAGGTTACAGACAATGAGTGGTCAAGTTTGGAGGATGCTGTGAAGAATCAAGGAGACATTTTCCTCACCTCAGTAATATTTAGATCTCATTACTTAAATGATTAAAATTTCAGTGAAATTATTCTCAATAACAGAGCTGCCAACCCTTACGATTTTGGCGTAAGCCTTAGAAATCAGCGTCTAAAATACGCTTTACGATTTCTCTCTATATTCTTCCGATTTCAGTTTTTCTCGTTCAAAGTTTATGATACCGGTATTTTCATAGCTGGCAGCCTATATAGTTTCTACTATTATAATATAGTTATAATTCTTACAACGCTTGCTTGTGATTGTCAAATGTTTTAGCATCAGAATGCATGTTATAAAAAGAATAGTTTATTATCATTTCAGAATGTTGGCAGCTCTGCAATAATAAATAAATTAGTAATTGATTTTTGAATGGAGTTGACTGAATACAGACATAAATGATTGTAAATTTCAGTAGCAGTTTAAAGAATAGTTTATTATACTTATAAAGGTTTTTTCACAAAAATATCTCCTTTCATTTTCAGAATTGTAGCTATGAAAGCAATTTGGAGCAGTTTCTACAGTTGTTGCGGGAAGGAAACCACCTTCATCAGCCCAAACATTTACTGCTACAAGTAGACAAACATCAAACATCCAGAGAAACGTTTCCTCTACAATTCGATAGGCACCAAACATCCAGGGAGATATTGTATGACATTGACAAGGCTTCCATCTCAGGTCAGATCAAATGTTATTTTTCTACTTTTAGTAGAAGTACAATAGGAAGCAATTGTGTAAAAAACAGAAATATTCACGGGAAATTAAATTTCATTTATTTTTGTTGTTTATATTTATCAATGAAAATGAATCCAACACAAAATTTTTATATGACTATAAATTGAAAAGGGTAACTATCAAACAAATTTGTATACCTTCAAAAACTTTATATATGCCAAATTAATGAAATTTTATCCCAATGAAATGTGTTTTTACATTTATACCTTATAGCTTCCAAGACCTGAAGGTCAATCATCTGAACATTTCACCTTTCAGATCAAATTTTTGGAAATTTACATTTCCATCTACAAAAATATTTTCTCTGTGACCTGTTGCTATCTCATCTTGATTCTTGTGTGTAAACATAGTTAAGATACTCCTGACAGTGTACAAACACCAATACCAGTCTATGGAACAAAGGTGTGCAAACTTTTTAGGAAACTTGCTTTCCCATCCTCAGAGAATTTTAATTTGAAGTTTGCCTCATAAGTACCATATTAAATTGATTATTGTCCAAGTAGGCGGCTAGGCCCATTGGCCTTGACTTAAGGATAAAAATATAATAAAAAATGGTATTTGATGCAAGAAAAAAATATTTGATCACCTGACAAACCCTTTATATTTTAATGTTAACATAACATTGTACATGCAAAGGTTTTCTTGGGCTATAAGCTATAAAATTGTATGAAAATATTTAAAAGAGCTTTGGAAATGGTTGAAAAACTTATCTAAAAATTTCATAAAGGGGATAAAACGAAAATATTTTTTCTTAGGCCATAATGAAGATGTCATAATGAAGTTAATTAATACAGAAGTTTCGTGCGAACTCAAGTCTTTCTTTGTTTTTTGTTTTTTTTTTATTTTACATATAGACATACATGTATAAAATAAAATAAGTCTTTTTCTTCATAATCACTAAAGTCTTCAAAATAAGAATGTGAAAAATGTACAGGAGATTAAATACAACAGGGGCCTCTTATTTTGAAGTCATTGAGCATGTGTTCATGTTTGTAGTCCGAGATGTATTGTTATGAGGTTGGTAGGGAATGCTCTATCTTCTATTGTACCTGATCCCACCTCTGATGTTTTAGAGGTCCATATTTACACTGCTCCTAATTTGTATTGTTTGTGTGGACATTTGAGCTTAAATACTGTTCATTATATCTATATATTTCATTGGAATAAAATTGATATGGAGTAGTCATTCCTGAGAGCAATAGAATATCAATTTTAATACCATATAGGTTGACGTGAGATTATTCTAAAGGACAAACAATTTATTATTTAATAACATCTGAGTTTGTAATGTTGCAGATTTTGAGAAGAAGACTGTGGACTTAGGTTGTGGAAAACAGGAAACGAGGTGTCTACCGGTTCCTCAGTTCACTTGCCTAGATATCAAAACACTTGACGTCAGGTCTTACGTTGTGCACAATCTTAAAAATTCTTCTGAATAGACAGACAGCTAACAAAAACAAATTGTTGTTAACATTTAAGACAGTATGCTTTTAAAGTTTTGTTGATATATGTGGAGACCTGTTGTTGAGATTATTTTGTGACTATTTCAGTATTTTGTGAAGTTTGATGAGATTCTGGAGAATATAGTGTCTTTATATGCGAATCAAATAAAGTGACAATATAGAACATTGATATGGTGAGTAATCTTTGAATGTGTCCTATTTGAGACATTGACATCTTAATGTCTGGTCTCCCGTGACCTCAGATGTGACATTGACCTTTTTTAGAAAATTCAATTTAAGACACATTTCATCAAACACAGTCTGTTAATCTGACTATTTAAGACACTTATTTAAGACTTGTAGACACTTTACAATAGTCTGACTTTTCGAGATGTAGAAATTTTTCAATAAGAATAAGGACTGTCAGTTACTCTGACTATTTAAGATATAAGAATAAGGACAGTCTTTGATTAATTGAGATGTAGACACTTTTCAGTATGTACAGTCTGTGACTTCGTCCGTTTTTAGAGGTTCCCTTGGATCGTAGAGAGATGGAGCATACAGGAAAATGCTCAGGGTTCCACAAATACATGCTGTTGTGAAAATGTATAAAAATAGCCTATCCATCACCATGGCAACATACTTCCAGTCCCTTTCTTCCTGTAATAGAAATTCAAAGCATTTTTATATTTATCTGTGAATGACAAAGGGTGTCTTAAAGCCTTGAATAAAAGTTGCTAGAAATAAAACTTGATCTTTATACATGGAAATGTAGTTACTTATATAACACATTACAACAACAATTGTGTAAAGGATCATGCCAGTTTGAATTTCCTTATGAAAGATAAAACATAACAGCTGCTAAAATCTCTTTGAAGGTTTGAAATATATTATTTAAACAGTTCATCCAACTATTCAATTTTTGTCTTTGATCAGAAACAGAGAAGATGAAATCAAATTCAACCAAATATTTGTTCATTAAAAAGTAATAAGATTTTACACATTAAAATGTCTTTATCTTATGTATGTGCTAATTTATTATTAGGCAGTGAGACTTGACAATGCTGTAGTGCTGACAGAGAATGCATTATTTACCATGTTATCCTCATCTGTGCTCCTCATATGGTCAGCCACAAATTTAACTCCAGACAGGGCTTCCCTGACTTCCAAAGGGTACCTCCTCATTTCTTCTGACCCTCCAGAAAAGTGCCTGCAGCGCAATCCATCAGGGGAGTTGAGCAAACTGTCGCTTGAGTTGCTCTTTTCTGCTGTTTGTTTGAGTTCTATTCCATTAGGAGTGCGCTTATTTACTTTTGGCTTCCTGTGCAAATCTGGTCTCTTCATTAACAGTATTCGAGGAAGAATTTCTGTGAACACTCTCTTTACCCATGGGTTCATACTATGAGTTGATGGTTTTCTAAAGTGTATCCCTAAAGTGTAGACTGCAAGAAAGATTGACATTGTCACAACTATCATTGTAAACAACAGGTACTTCCCAATCAGTGGTATAACAAAGGAAGTGGGAGGATTTATGTCTGAGAGAAGCAGGAAGAACACAGTGAGAGCCAGAAGTATGGAGATGGAGAGGGTGATCTTCTCCCCACTGTCAGATGGCAGGTAGAATACCAACACAGTCAGGCATGAAATGGATAAACAAGGCATGATCAGATTCAAGGAGTAGAACAAGGTCCGGCGGCGAAGTGTGATGTTGAATGTGATATCTGGATAAGGCTCAGGACAGCAGGGGTAAAACTTTTCCTTACGGCGAGCTGTCACATTGATAATGTCCCACTCTACGTTCTGGTAGAAGTCCTTGAGGTCAATACCTCGGTCTATTACTTTCTCTTTTGTGTCCTCATAGAACACGGCCTGAGAGTCACAGAGATGTTGGAGGTCCACTTCATGTCCATCATATGTCCAGGACCCGAATTTCATGAAACACTCCTGCATGTCAAATGGAAAGTACTCCACGTCAATAGGACAGTATGTCTTATAGATCACGGGAGGCTCCCATATGATTTTACCGGTATGGTACACCGTTGCTTTGGTCTGTAAAGTTACCACGAAGTCACCATCAGCACTAAATATAGAAAGACATATCAGTTGATGACAAATATGTTTGTTATAAGTTGGTTAAAGAGAAATTCAAATCAACGAACTGACTTGTTGTACGTCATGAAATTTACAAACAGACTTGTAGATGATATTAACAAACTGACTTGTAGATGATATATACAAACTGACTTGTAGATGATATTAACAAACTGACTTGTTGTAGATGATATTAACAAACTGACTTGTTTTACATGATATTAACAAACTGACTTGTTGTAGATGATAATGTCTGGGCGCCACAGAGAGTCCGAGGGAATGTGCGTCATGGATATCCCTCCGTAAGATTGAGGATCCCACCTCAGTCTCAGGTCTAACCATTCCTGTAGAACAATTATAACTAGCACAGTTATCGAAGCATAATGCAATTATAACATTGATATAGTTTGTCAAAAGGGTTGTTAACTTGATAGACATTTTAATAAACCATTTTTAGAACCTAATTCTTACATGCCTTATCCAATCAACGGTCATTATTTTCTCGTTCTTACTTGCCTTATCCTATCAACAATTACCGTTCTTTTCTGGGTTTTACTTGCCTTATCCATTGAAAAGTTGGTATTTTCTGGTTTTTACTTGCCTTATCCAATCAACAGTTGTTATTTTCTGATTCTTACCCACCCATCGTTTCCAATAAAATCTTGGTATTTTCTGGTTCTTACCTGCCTGAGCCAAACGCTGGTGGTCATTATCTGATTTTTTTCATCCTGGAAAAAAAACTTAATTTTGAGATGGAAGAAGTTTTTTTCTCTCTCATTATCTTCTCTCGTAATAATTACTACACATGTGACTCCAGACTTATAAATCTTTGTAATTCACACAAACACTTTTTAAGAAGTGTTCATTAAGGGTCCCTGTGAATTTTTTGAAAAATCAAACCTGCTCAGTTTTAGTTGAAAAAAAGAATGTATTTGGACTTTGACGTTATTTCTCGTTTGTTTATTTATTATGGTGTCATGAGTTGCAAAATTATCCTCAGAACTTAAAAAAAAATAAATATTTAAGCTTTTAAAAATATTTTAAAGAATTTGATGCGGACTTAATTCCCTAAACGGGAGTATATTTTGTAATTTTCAAAGTAAAATAAAAAAATAATAAGCTTGTCATTAATTGTGACATAACTACTAGTATCAGAAAGAATCATTAACTTTTGCTAGAAAATGATCGAAGGAAAATTTATTTAGACAAAAATCCGCAACACGTGAGAGTGTGTTCTTACATATGAATCAAGGTAGCATTATCTTCCTGCTTGTATATACAAACTGTAAGTATATACGATATAACGTTATGTTAACCATCCATCTACGATAATGAGCAGATGTGATTGATATATCTTAGCATTCCAACAAAGAGAGTACATTTTGTAAATTGTATTTTTAATATAATGAAATAATAAATCAAAACATTGTCACCCCTGCCTAAAATGAGTATTGTTTCTGAGTTTTGGCATACACAGAGGTCACAAATAACAACAAAATTTTCACATTTTTATGCAAATTTCCATTTATTTAACTGCATTTTATATACAAACTGTAAGTATATACATATATATAACGTCATATATATAAAACCATAACCATCTTGTGATAATGAGCAGATGTGATTGATATATTAAAAGAAGGATATGGAGGACATAAAAAAAAATCCTGAGGAAATTTGAAAAGCCCCTGATTTACCCTTATGTCCTACCTCTCACCTTTAAATAAAAAATCATTGCTGGTTTTGAAATAATATATGTAAACGTATTGTCACCCCTGCCACAAAATGAGAATTATTTTTGAGTTTTGGCATACAGAGGTCACAAAAACAATTTCCGAATTATGTCATTTTTTGTGCATATTTTCATTTATGTGTGTAAGATTTATCTGCTCTTAGGGATTTTTTGACGGAGTTTTACTTTATACGTGTTATTCTATGGGTATGTCAAAGGCAGAAGACAAGGAAACAAAACAATAAGTTACCTGCATGTCGAGTCATTTACAGACACGCAGAAGGTATTTTGCTGTTTTTCAGACTTGAGCCTTGTTCGCTGACTTGACAATGAGACATTCATACCACTGTAAATTTTAATATCTACTTTATATCCTAACACTTACCCTGACGAAGCAAGTAATGGACAAAATTTTAGTTTGATACCTTTGACAATTTTTAATAAACAATTCTTAACGTTCAAATTTTATATTCACAATGTAAAAACATCCAACTTTTCCGATTGATACTGTTATATAAAGAATTAAAAAATTGTCATGCTTCATTGCAAAATGTGTTAATGCACCATTGTTCAGCAATCAAATAGTTGAATCCACCCCCTTTCTACCCTTTGCTGTCGTCCCAGACTCACCACATCCAGTAGCTGTGACAGGCGCATGCCTAGTTTGACAGTGAGTTGGACAGAGTTGTTTCCTGTAGGTCGTATCAGCTTGCTGTACTTTTTACCCAGCAGGTGCTCGTGAAGCTTTTTCTCCGCGGGTTCATGTCTGCTTGTTACAAATCCCAGAAGACTGACTATTATCCCAGAAACAAGGACCGCCATTAAATCCATTCCCTGATACACTGGAGGACACGGCTGTACATGGCCGACAATGACTCGATCTGTGTAATCGACCAATGGCTCCCCAGAGACACAACTGTCATCTAAAGCCAATCCAAGTCAATCTTAATCCTATTGTCATTTAATGAACCGACGAATTAAATATTTATTTATCTAGAGTTCTTAAACTTCATTTTGATTTATCCAATGAGCTAAAATACAGCGCGTCCGGACCTGTGTAGAAACTTTTGACTTTCCAATATAAGGTCAGAAGTTTGCGCGTTACTCGTTACACGGCCAGTATCATTAAGAATACAGATAGAATATGATTTAGCGTTAAATGCTTTCTTCACCTTCAGATAGGCGCGGTGTTGAAGTGTTAGGCATTCCGTCTGTCTTCCTGTGTCAGAAGTAAAACATCGATTCTCTCTGACGTTTGCTGTTCGTGTCTTTCCTTGAAGACGAGGCTTCACAAATCACCTGACATCAAACAGTTCCCCCTTACACCTCTCTTATTTGTTATGTCTAAATAAAATTCCTAGTTCAATGTCCGGAATGCCCAATAAATACCCAACATATATAAAATTATCATCGAGTTTAAGTTCAAGAAATGAAACAGCTGTTTCAGAGTGAATACCATTTGCTTTTGCTTTCCTCAACAATTAATTGTCTCTCTGTAGTGGTTGATTGCATATAAAGAAGAACTTTCTTTTTTAATCTTTTGTTAGAGGCAACAGAAGGTGCCTGTTATTGATCTTTTTGTGGGGAAAGAAATTATGACCGGGAGCTTCTGAGCTCAGGTGGAGCTTAACATGAAAGAATCTTTGCTTCTTTTTAAAACATAAATAACCAGACATCGTCTGTAAGAAATCTAGATTACGAGTATTCACTACTATACTTCACTTCAACGAGACTAATATTTTTAAGGAAAAAGATTTGGTGAAAACTTGCTTTCAAATTTTTATGCCCCACCAGGAATATGGCCGGGGCATTCAGTGTTTGTTCTGTCCGACTTTCGTCTATCCCTCCGTCGCGTTTTACGTTTAGCTCAGTTAAAAGCTAAATTTCAAAGAAACGGCTCATGATACTTTTGTCAAACTTCATATGCTGATAGATATTAATGAGAGCTGTTGAACTGCATTAATATTTTCAACATTGACATTTCCTTTGACATTGACCCCACTTTGTAGATCAGTTTAAAAGATACCATACAAGATAGTGTAATTAAATTTTATATGTTGATATACATTGTATACTGAGGTTAGCTTTTCAAATGCATCAACATTTTTTACCTTGATTTTTCCTTTGACCTTGGTCTCACGTTTCTTAAATTAGTATTTAGTTCATGTGCTGACACATGCTGATGTTAGCTTTTCTACTAACATTTTTACCTTGACCTCACTTTCGCTTTCCTTTTGACCTTGAACTATCTTTTCTAAAATAAATGTTTAGTTCAATTTTACATAAACCATTTTTAATTTTTTTTAGCAAACATAATATGCTGATACATATAAGTGAGAACTATTCAACTGCATCAAAAACTTGTGACTTGACCTCTTGTATTGTAGCCATTCTCTGTAACCATTTAAACTCCTTTGCCACGCATGCTCACCGAAATTGATGAAACTTGACCAATTCTTAGTACTTGACAACAGAAATATATATCAAATAAAATTTTGTTGCTATGTGTCTTGCTAGCCATGGTAACAGTCGGAAAAGTTTGAAAAATTGAGATTTTCAGCTGCTTTAAATCTTTATTGAGCCATAATAATAACTAGGAGTAGCAAACAAACCATTCTCACAAAACTTGACACCTTGTTGCCACTTATGCTGTAAAGAAACTGTTTAGAATATATATCTCTAAGTTTGTGGTACCCAATGGTACATTTGGAATACATTTAAAATACTAAATCTTACTGACAAACGCTCAGTTTTCACTAATGGTAGGTGGTTGATTGAGTTTGATCATGTAATTGTAGGTGTTACATGATCAAACTTAATCTACCACTTGAGGAAAACAATGAAAATGTTGATCTAAAGTATATAGGCATAAGCAGTATATAATTCTATAAATGACTTTGATGGTTACCATGGTGATAATGCAACCAAGCAAAGTTAGAAACTAAGATTTGGTTAATGCCACTGTCTTGAGGAAAAAGAAAATTCAAGACAGACAAATATGCATTCTTAGGATCTTGCAACACAAACAACATAAGAAAAATTGGGATTAGCTGCTACTTTCCTCTGTTACCATGGAAACAACGTACCATTGGTTAAAAGTGATTTTTTGCTGCTTTTGGAATAAACTTGCCATTTAATCAAAAACATATATGTCTCACCTTGAATTATACTTGTCTTGTAGGACTACAGTTGAATATCAAATATTGATGAAAAATGATGAAGAAAACAATACTATATCAATGTTAAACCTTATGTGCCATTTTCTTGCATCCAGTTAGAGATTGGATGATGGTCAAAATTTAAAGTTTAGTTAGCTGTTCATAAATATCAATCATAAAAGGTTTGGGAATCTGCATTTAAGGGTACGTATCTAATGAAACAAAATATTTTTCAGATATTTAAGCATATATTATCTGCTTACTAGTATTTCTATAGCAACGCCCTTTTCAAAGAATCTGATTTGAATTGTTTTAAATGGGAAAATTTGGAACACACCAACACCTTTTAAAATTGATCAAAATTGATATAGAAATGTGTGCACTTAAACGTGGTGAGAGTCTATCCTTATCCATATTTAAGATTTCAGTTTCAATTTTAAAGAATCTATTCAAGATATTCTAATCAGACTTAATACACTAATGTTTATTTTCATGTACATTAGTAATATACATTAGACGGGGCATTCATGTCCTGTGGACTTTTTTTCTAGTTTGTAAATAATTTTATTTCTCAGACCTATGTATTCTGTAGCAAAGTAGTAATTTATAGATTAAAAAATAATTAAGACATCTATTGGTGATAAGGCCTCGACTCAGCTCCAACTGATAAATTAACGTTGACATTATGGAAGTTGCATATGAATGAAATTAAATTAATTTTATATAGACGAATGTTATACCCCCGGCGTTGGCGTGCTTCCCAGGTTAAAGTTTTAGGAGCAAGTCCATTCCTAAGTAACTATTATAAGCCCTACCTGAACCAAACTTGCATGGATGATGCATCTAGGGATGGACACTACAAGACTTGCTTCGGATGCTGGATCTGACCTACATTTTCAAGATGAGTGACCAGGTTAAAGTTTTTGGAGCAGGTCCATTCCCAAGTAACAATAAGCCCTACCCGGACCAAACTTGCATGGATGATGCATCTAGGGATGGACACTACCAGACTTGCTTCAGATGCTGGATCTGACTTACATTTTCTAGATGAGTGACCAGGTTAAAGTTTTTGGAGCAGGTCCATTCTCAAGATGAGTGACCAGGTTAACGTTTTTGGAGCAGGTCCATTTATAAGCCCTACCTGAACCAAACTTGCATGGATGATGCATTAGGGATAATATAATACTACATTTTCCAGATGAGTGACCAGGTTAAAGTTTTTGGAGTAGGTCCATTCCCAAGGAACTATAAGCCCTACCCAGACCAAACTTGCATAGATGATGCATGTAAGGATGGACACTACCAGAACTGCTTCGGATGCTGGATCTGACCTACATTTTCATTCCCAAGGAACTATAAGACCTACCCAAACCAAACTTGCATGGATGATGCATCTAGGGATGGACACTACCAGAGATGCTGGATCTGACCTACATTTTCATTCCCAAGGAACTATAAGACCAACCTGAACCAAACTTGCATAAATGATGCATCTAGGGATGGACACTACCAGACTTGCTTCGGATGCTGGATCTGACCTACATTTTCATTCCCAAGGAACTATAAGACCAACCCGAACCAAACTTGCATGGATGATACATATAGGGATGGACACTACCAGACTTGCTTTGGATGCTGGATCTGACTTATATTTTCCATACAAGAGACCAGGTTAAAGTTTTGGGAACAGATTAATCCCAATGAACTTGAACCTTGATATCTGCAGTATTAACAAATTGATGAATATTTGTTTACACTATACATGAGTAGAAATGTGTATATGCCCTGTAAGAGGTTAAACACAACTTGCAAAGAATATTGTTGTTGGGATAAATACTAGATATTAAGAAAATATGATGTGAGATTTGCATTACTCTTATTATCATATAATTCAATATAATGATTTGCGTACAGTTTGCTAAGTATATGAAATGTGACATAATGATGCCGCGCTACCAGAAGGAGTGCACATCATCCTTTAAAATCTCCTACTTGCTTCTAAAACATAAGTTTCAACATAAAAATAATAAATTCCTCAGAAAGCAGATATACACCATGACCATTAAGTTTATAATGTATTACCGAGTTTCAAGTTAATAGCATATGAACATTCATTTCCTATATCTTACGATTGTTGAGCATCAGACTATGAATTACACCGGAAAGTGTGCGTGATCGCGGTTCTCTTTAGAATTATTCGACGCCATGAATTTTGATATAACCGAGACAAACTGTAAATCAAAAGATATAACCTAATAATAGTTCTGACCTTCGTTAAAAGAGCTATACATCAGTCTTAATGGCGCTGTTACGTTGTATATACATCAGAAATGTCCATTAGACCATTTAAGATAGGATTCGCTTTCCCTTCTGAGCCACAAATACTAAATCGATGAGTGTCTAAATATATAATTTCGTATTTTTGAATTCCTTTTTTTTCTTTTTGTTTATTATGAATTTAAATGTGATATTCTTAAATGATTCTTTCCAGTCGTAATAAAACAGTGAAGATCTTTTAGAATATGAACATGTATCAAACCACAACCAGAAATATTTTTACACACAAATTTGATGTTTAACTTCTTTATTTAGAACCACACTTTCAAAATGACATGTTGATTAATATAACCATGCTTTTTACAGCATATTGACCCTGTAAAAAAATTTAATGTATTGAATATGATTTATAGCAATCAGTATGCTGTCTTTCCCAGTATTCATGCAGTTCCTTAACAGTTCGGTTTTGTATGTACAGTTAATTTACATTAAGTTTTGTATTTGTACAGTTAATTTACAATTGTATATGTACAGTTAATTTACAGATGAATCCGTGCAGTTAATTTACATTGTTTTGTATCTGTACAGTTAATTTACATTGTTTTGTATTTTTACAGTTAATTTACATTGTTTTATATTTGTACAGTTACTCTACAGTTATATATGTATAGTTAATTTACAGTTGTATATGTACAGTTAATTTACAGTTGTATATGTGCAATTACTTTATAGTTGTATATGTACATTAATTTAAGAGTTAATTATATACGAATCTCGCTAAGGCAAAGGATCAGTTCGTGTAAAGGAAGTCAATATGTCCGACTGTTTTACAGTCGTCTTACAATGCACGGATAATTTTACGATTGTTACACCATTAATTTGCAGTCGCTATATATGTTCAGTTTACAGTTGCATCATACATGTACAGATATTAAACACCTGTATATTCATTGTCATCTAACATGTTTACGAGTTGATCACTGAAATCATTGCTAGCGCCTTTTTAATTAAAAATAATGTTTAAACGTCAACGAATGTATATTTACATGTTAGAGTTCTTAATATACAAGTAGTTTACAATTACTGACATTATAAACATTTGTTATTGTACAAGTAATATGCAATTTCTTTCATTACTTAACAGGTTATTGTAAAAGTATACATTTACTCACATTATTAACAGCTTTATTTGTACAAGTAATTCACATTTACTTTCATAACATGTTACTGTACAGATAATTTGGTTACAATATTAATAGTTGTTAATGTACAAGTTTCATTACTTTACAGATTATTGTACAGTTTGTTTACAATTTCATTAGTATGTACAGTTGAATTGATCGTCCAGACTTAATGGTCCCCTAGGGTCATATAAAGAAGGTGCGTACAAAAATATACTCAGTGTCCCACATATACAGGCTGTAGTAAAAATGTACAAAAATAAACGATCCATTACCATGGCAACGTACTTCCAGTCTCTTTCTTCCTGTAATATAAAAAGGGTATTGAAAAGAATAATGTGTTTAAATAATATTTGAATCTTTGAATCATCTATGATTCTTAAAAACAATTAACCTGTTCTGAGCATAATGATATTAATAAAGATTTACCCACCATATTGTCTGCATCTGCTTCTCTAAGGTGGTCCGCCACAAACTTGACTCTCTCTATGGCCTCTCGGATTTCTTTGGGGTATCTTTTAATTTCTATGGAATCTCCTGAAGGATTTCGGACTCGAAGTCCTTCCTGCGTTTCCATATTCCACCCTACTCTCGCGCTGTTGTGGTTCTCACGTACCTCTCTCATTTCTATGCCATTCACGTTCCTGTACTGTTTGTCTTTAGACTTACGGTGTAAATCTGGTCTTTTCATTAATAGCATGTGTGGAAGAATCTCGGTGAAAACTCGTTTGACCCAAGGACTCATTCGGTGAGTTGAAGGTCTCCTGAAGTGAATACCTAATGTATAAACAGCAAGAAAGATGGACAACGTCACCACAATCATTGTAAACAACAAATATTTACTGATCAGGGGGATCACAAATGACGTAGGTGGACTGATGTCTGAGAGGAGCAGGAAGAACACGGTGAGAGCCAGAAGTATAGAGATGGAGAGTGTGATCTTCTCCCCGCTGTCAGATGGCAGGTAGAAAACCAACACAGTCAGACAGGAGATTGTTAAGCAGGGCATGATGAGGTTAAGAGAATAGAACAAGGTTCTCCGACGGAGTGTGATGTTGAACATGATATCTGGATAAGGTTGAGGACAACAGGGGTAGAACTTTTCACTTCGGCGGGCTGTTACGTTAATAACGTCCCATTCCACATTCTGGTAGAAGTCCTTCAAATCAATGCCACGGTCAATGATTTTCACCTTCGTGTCCTCGTAATACACTGCCTGGGAATCACACACGTGTTGTAAATCTATTTCATACCCATCGTATGTCCACGAACTGAACTTCATAAAGCATTCTTGTATATCAAAGGGAAAGAACTCCACATCAATGGGGCAATAACTCTTATAGATAGCAGGCGGTTCCCACACAATTCGTCCTGTATGATGGACTGTAGCCTTTGTTAACAGAGTAATCTCAAATGCCCCATCAGCACTGCAAAACACAATCTTTTATTATTTTTTTATTATATAAGTTAAGACAATGTGAAAATTTGAGGACAAGTCTTTATGACAAAGAAATATCAAAACCCTATGTCTTATAATTATCGAGATCTCCTTTAAATAATGAAATTTTGATATATCGAACAGTAATAAGGTTCAAGCTGAAGAGAAGATATCAAAAAAAGGGAAATTGCTTTTTAGAATCTAAGTATTTTTTGAATGAATTGAAAATTATATTTAATATTACAACGTAGAAGGTATTTTTTAATCAATTGAAAACTACATAGTAAGTATAAGCATATATGCATTCATTACATTTATAATTATTATGTGGATCACACGAACAGAAATAATTACATCTATCTTATTTTGATAATATCATGATATATGATGACACATTTTTTTGATTTTTTTTTGATGACATACTTGTTATTTGATGACATACATGTTATTTGATATATTTTCTGATGACATCCTTGTTAGATATATGTTTTCCACTTATACCGGTATATTAGCTGACATACTCGTTATTTGATGACATACTTGTTACTTGATGACATACTTGTTATAGAGTACAATGTCTGGTCTCCAAAGAGCTTCAGAGGGAATGTGAGTGATAAGTATCCCCCCATAAGACCGGGGGTCCCACCGTAAACGAAGGTCAACCCATTCCTACAACAGAAAAAAAACCACAAAAACATTTTAATATAACGAAAATCAAAATGTTAAATAATGATATATTCTATAATCCTACCTTATTAATATAAGCTAAACATAATCATCACAATGTTATTCCTGCCTGAACGAATCATACACTGAACAAACTTTTATACTCTTCATTTGCTTCTTACCCTGAGTCATAATGATTCTTACACTGAGTCACACACACTCATCCAACCTGAACGAGTCATACACTAAACAGAATACTCTCCAACCTGTCACACACATGTCATACACTCACACACAAAATACTCACACACTCCAACCTATCTGACTGAGTCACATACACTAAACAATGACTCACACATATACCTAGATTGAGAGTCATCACACTAAACAGAATTTAACTGATTGTGTCAAATATTTCCAACCTGAAGACACACACACATCATATACTGAGTCACACACAAATCAACCTTTACTTCTTTACTGATTGAGTCACACACACGTCATCATTTGCTTCTTAACTGATTTTGTCAAACACATTTGACTCTGAAATGATTAATACTCGTAACTGATTGAACATACACTTCAAGACTCTCACACACACCTGAACGAGTCACACACATACACTGTCACACACAGAATACTCTCACACACCTGAACGAGTCATCACACACTCATCACAGAATACTCATGTCATCAACCTGTCACACACACGATTAATTTGTCATACACTGAGTCACACAGATGGCTTCTTACCTGTTTTTCCACACACACGTTATTATTTGCTCCTTACCTGTTTTTCCACTCACGTCATCATTAGCTTCTTACCTGTTTTTCCACACACACGTTATGATTTGCTTCTTACCAGTTTTTCCACAGACACACGTTATCATTTGCTTCTTACCTGATTAAGTCACACACAAGTCATCATTTGCTTCTTACAGGATTAAGTCACACACACGTCACCAATTGCTTCTTACCTGATTGAGTTACACACACGTCATCAATGGCTTCTTACCTGTTTTTCCACACACATTATTTGCTCCTAATTACCGGAAAGAGTTACACAGACGTTATTATTTCATCATTTTCTTACCTGTCTTAGCCAAACACTTGTGGTCATAATCTGATTCTTCTCGTGCTAAAATTAAAATTAAAAAAAAAAAAAAACACTTGAATGGGTAGTTAGAGCAGTATATATGATAAGTATTTGATATTGAAGTTCTTCATGGCATACATTTATCATTTAATGAAGTAGAAAGTGCTGGAAATAAAAACAAATGATAGCTGTAAAATATTAAACCTATTTTACACGGTAAAATAGGGCATACATTGTATAAAATTTAATTCTCAATCACAGTCTTCTATATTAAAGCTTTTGTATTGTACAGTGTCCATAATGATGTTAACTGAGGTGAAGCTTTAAATGAGAACCCAGCTTTCTGAGGATAATTGCTTACAACTGAAGCGTAATGTTCCACTAAATTCCTCAAGACGTAATTATCTGTATTCAAAAAACTCCACATACAAGAATCTAACAATGCAAAACTTTTCTGTGTTCTGAAAAAATCTGTAAAAAGTACTTATAGATATTCTGATATTTTTGTAAATCGACTTATACGTTCTGCGTTTTCACAAATTTACTGATACCCTGTTGTAAAACGGCACTGTGTATTCTATGTTTATAGAAAATTACATGTTTATTTAACCCTACTTTGAACAAAAATGAACGCTTTATTTCTAGCCATGAAAATAATCCATCTTTTACAGCTTAAGCTCCTTTATATCTGAAAATTTATTTGTACAAAACATTACTCTATTTTATCTGTATATTAAGGAAGTCTAAACACTGCGCACTAAAGAGTTTTATATATGGAGTAGTTTTATACAGTAGGAATGATCAACCCTTAGATAAAAGAAAGAAAAAATGGTTAATTACTGTTAATTAAAATATCGTGCCTGAGGTTCAGAAAAGTACTCAATCCTTAAAATATCGTACTTGCGGTATAGTATAGTGTTATCAATCCCCCTGTATAATTTTTCATTTAAACGCTTAATCTTCACTTTATTGTTTTTTGTAAGACTTTTCCCCCATATTTAAGCAATGTTTACTAAATAACTAAAGAATAACGTTACCTGTTCTTTTACTTTTTCGTGTTTCAAGTACAATACTCTCTATTTTATGAGTAAACTTTTTCATAGGCTTTCCATTGATTGATATTTAACATATTCTTTACACAGTGAGTAAAGTAACACATTTACTATGTTCAAATCAAGTAACATATACCATGTTGATAATGTCTAGCTTATTTTTATGCTTATGTTCAAGTATCACTTTTTATAGTCTTTACTTAAAAACAGATGATTAAAACACACTTTTATCTATAATCTGAAAATAATAACTTAAAGACAATTTCATTTACGTAAAATGAATAAGTTTAATCGCATAGGTTTTTAATTTTTCATTCAAATTAGGTCATGGATGGAAATTTAAATAAAGCACTAAAAATGACCAACTACACGAACAATAAAAATTTGACATTAAAAGTAAAAAAAGTACAATGGATATGTATAGTTTAAACTATAGCTTAATTTACCTAGAGTACGTTTAAATAGGCTGTGTTTATATAAATTCGTAATATAATTTATATATCAGGAAGTCCGTTGTTTTAATATATATATATATTTCTTTCTTTTTTATTTATTTTTAATTTTTTGATTATTATTATAATTTATTTTTTTTTTTGCATTTTTCTGTTTGTTTAGTTTTTGTATTTAAAAAAAAATGTTTTTACAACCCCTTTGATCTTTTGAGTAAAAATGAAAATAAAGGTATGGAACATATGGAGATGGAGATAACAAACAGTATTCAAGATCAAAAGTCCATAAAACAATACAAAATAGGAGCAGAACAAACACTGGAGAACCAGGTTAAGGATTTAAATGGAAGTGAAAGGGTTTAAAAGGAGCACACGGCGGTGTGACGGGTCGGCAAGAGGTGTCGCTCCTCCATGGTACCTGATTCCATCTCTGATGATTTAGAGGGCTGTGTGTGCTCTGCTTCAATTTTGTTTTGTTAAATTTTAGCAGAAAGCTCTTTGACAGCAGAGAGAAGCGTAAAATGAAATATTGGTTTTACTCGGTTTAATCACGGAAGACCTTATAGTGATTCTACTGTTTCTTTTATTATTATTCTTATTTTTTAGACAAATTTTGTGCAAATTAGGTTTTTCATCAAACTTTGGATGGCTCTTATAATTGTTATGGAAGAATAGTCGCTTCCGGTGCCAAGTTATGGCCATTTTTCTGATTTTAAAATGAGATTTTGTCAGTTCGATATCTAAAGAACTACTAAAGATATGAGCTGGAGACTTGTTGGAGAGCATAGGGCATGACAATGCGGAATGTCCTTTTCGCTCAGACATTAAAAGAATTAAAAAAATCAAAATTTTCAACTTTTTTGTTTTTCATTATTTTTCTTTGATTTTTATGAAACTCTTAAATATGCGGAATGTGTAATTTGTTTTAAATTAAAAAACCCAATCTCCAGAAATTCGCATTTAAAGATTTGAAGCGCTGTTCCCGATGGCGTAATGGTTAGCTGTGTTTATATAAATCCCCCGTGGGACTGATGTTTTTTTACGACTTTTTCATAGATTTTTCGTTTTTTATATATCAGGAACCTCTCGTTGCTCGCAACGAGATCGTTGTTATTATTATTATTATTCTTTTTTTTCTTCTTTGTTCTCCGGTACTTTTTTTGTTATTTTTTAGCTAAAACCTTTTTAGGGTTAATAGGTGTGTTTAGGTGTGCAACACGAAGGTTTTTTGCGCGCATACGCATGCACGTGCGGGCGCGTGAAATGAGTGAAATGACGGATATATATATATATATTTAACATCTTTTGATCAAATATTTTAAAACTCATTTAATAAGGATATATTAATAGTGTAGATAATTTTTTTAGCACGAACTCACGCGCATGCATGCGTCGCTCTGATTGGCTGCAACAAAAATCTCAATATCTTTTCTGTTTTTTGACGAAATGCTATGAAATTTAAAATATAGGCATACTTTGGATGTAAAATATGATATATAACAATTGTCATGTAAACACGCGCATGCACGTGCGCTGCAATCTGATTGGCTTAAACTTTAAATGGCTATAACTCCCTTGTTTTTCAACGAAACAGTATGGGAAGTAGACAAACATTATAAAAGGAGGTATGGTCATAATGCACATGCATGCACGTGCATGCACGTGTGCTTTGCTGTGATTCGCTGAAACATAAATCGCAATATCTTTTTTTAATTTTTGACGAAATGCTTTAAAATTTTAAACATAATTATGCATTAGGATGTCCTACAATATGATATATAACAGTTGTCATGAAAACATGCGCATACACGTGCGCTGCAATCTGATTGGCTTAAACTTAAAATGGCTATAACTTCCTCGTTTTTCAACCAAACAGGATGGGGAACATAGACAAACATAACAGACTCCTACAAGAAGATACAGTCGACATGCACATGCATGCACGTGCGTGCACGTGAAATGAGCAAAATTACAAACTAGATTAAAACGTATTTTTTAATACTTTTGGATAAAACGCTGTAATTTCTAGTATACAAATAGTGTAGACAAGATGATATGGTCATTACGCACATGCATTCAAATGCGCATGCGTGCAATGCATAAATTTGAATATACTGAATATACTTCTGGGAAAACATTGTTACAGTCTAAAAGGCATAGAGTTCGTCCTATTTAAATGAAGCTTACAGGGAATAAGGCACCAAAAGGGAGTTGGGGAGCGTTTGGGGAACATCTGTAACGGTTCCCGTTACAATTAGCCCTAGTTTGACTTTAACATGTAACATTGAAATTATCTAGACGTATAACATAATAGTATTGAGAAACAGGTTTTGTACAAAAGAATTATTTTTTAAGACCAGACTCCAAGTAAGAATTCAAAATTCCTAAAGCTTATTGCACATCTACAAGGCATCATTAATCATATTCCAAAAGATTTATTGATTTCTGCCTACATTAAAATGGGAGTTTAGGTTGAGGAAGAACTTGTGACAGACGGACAGAGTGGGGTATCGACAGAAAGTGTAGATCGTAAAAACAAAGCATAACACAAGCAGAAAAAAGTATATTTTTACACTTTAAGCTTGGTGTAAATCACCATACTTAATTTTGTATAGACGGACCAAAAATATACAATTTCATAAAGTTTAAAAGTCAGGTCTTACAATGTACACAATATACATTAAAATTCCGTCCCATTTTTTAAGGTTGTGTATGAAGTCGTCACATCCTTGAAACTCAATATTATGTTTACACAATCGAACTGATTGATTTCCCCCTGTATCATTACAATTGCATGTGTCAGCTTGGTTTACAAAAGAAATTTTCTATTCAACAAGATAAAACAGAAAGTGGTGACATATTTTTCAGAGGAGAGGTTTTCTGTGTTATTCTGAATTCTAGAATAAATTGTTTGTAAAATATGAAAGCCAGAGGAATGTGCTGGAAATAATGCTAAATTTGTTTACGTTGATGAATTATATTTCACTGTGAAACATGCCAGGATCATAAAGAATAGATTAGACGTAAGAGATTTCTCAGAGAGTTGTTATGATGATCGTCGCCAAATACTTTGAGAGTTCATGGCGAGTGTGCTCTGAAAATACACTCTACTTCAAAATGCATCATATCTGGGTATATACAAGATCTCTTTGCTTCATATTTTACATACACCTTTAAATTAAAATCATACAGTGAAAATGAAAAGTTACATGCATATCTTCATGTCTCGTGTAAAAGATTTTCAATAGTTCATATTCAATATAAATATTATGTATTAGTTATTTATTCTGGAAGCTTGTTAATTTGAATGCTTTTAAGAATTGGCGTAGCATATGCATGTTATCATAACTATATATATTAATATATTTAAGATTACTCACAATCTCCAGCAGCTGTGACAGACGCAACCCTAGTTTGACTGTTAGTTTGACGGAACTGTTTCCCGTTGGTCGGATTAATTTACTGTAGTGGCTCCCAAGGATATGATCATGAAGTTTCTTTTCAGCTGGTTCACTGGTGCTGAGGGAACCACCAACTTCCCCAACTAGAACCACCATCAAACATAATAACATATCCATGACTGAGTTTAATTGGCGAAGACACAATACGTCGTACTTTGAACGCAGTTAAAATGGATCAAGTTAAAAATCAATGTCGGTTTGTACTCGGCACCCAGAGGCGACAGTGGTTCTTGACTGTCCTAAGAGAACTCTGGCGTAAGATGTACTTCATTGCGATTCGAAGCTCCTGTATCAATATATCAGAGTCTGGATTGCTGACACTATGTGGTTTGTTTATGTCTACAGACAAAAAATGACTCTTCACCTCTCTCACTAATTGCGAGATTCCGTGCTGGTGGATTGTATTGTTACACACACCGATCTTGCAGCTACTCGCCGTTCTGTAACACCGGCGGCAAGTTTACTTAGAATACACAAGATAGTTTCCCCTATGAGCAGCTGTTACGCAATACATCAAAAGCTGAGTGCTATCCTAAGTAATACAATTATCTGTGTATGACATCCTAATTGAATGTTTATTGCTCTTTTATATTTTTGGAGGCAAATCAAAATATCTTGATTTTGGCGTATTGTTCTAGTATTCCAGCAAGAAGGTTTCTAAAACTCAAGTAAAAGTTGTAAGAGATTCTAGTTTATCGACCGACATAGCCCTTTTCTTTATTTTCAGCTTGCTTTAATGAGAATCAAAAAGTTTATTTGTAACGCGAAAACAAAACCGACGTCTTCCTGCTACAAATCGATGGAGACTTTTAGGCATTGACTTTGAACTAGGCACAGAAATGTTTACGCTTCACAGTGTTTGATTAATGTCAAATTTAAAAGAATTTTAATAATACATTGATTTGCAGCCAACTTCTAAAGACCTTTACACGTTTCTTTTTATATATGTACTTTGGTATATTCTTTAATTTTTTTCCCGAATGTTTACTCGAGATATTCTATCTTAGACCTAATTAACTAAGACCACCTCCTTAAGACACTTCATATCGTGCACCCTCAATCTGCCCATAACAATCAATATTGACTCTGTGGGGTATAGGGAAAGAAAATCTTTTTAACACTTTCATGAGATTTGTCAAGTAAAAGAGGGACTTGTAATTATCAAATAAAGGTTTTCGTGCGATTATACACATCAGAGAACGATCAGGAAAAGGGGCGGGTCCATGTGTCGAGAGCGACCTACAGATAATGGGTCTCTCAATAAGAATGGAAATACAACCTGTGATTTTCTGTTCAATAATCTGTTGCGCTGATTTTTAATTTGATAAGGGGGTGTGTCAAACACAGATTGTTTGCGAATAAAAAATATACTCAAATACCGAACGCTTCGTATTTGAGAATATACATGTATACAGCAAGTCTCAAACTATCATAATTTTCCTAAGTGAAAAAAATATTAGTATAAAAAGCACATAGAAGTTCATTTTAACAAGCTACATGTACATGTAGGTAACACCATTGACTTTATTTGTAAGGCTTATTATATTGTATTTTAGAAGAACTTGGATTTAATTCTATAAGTGGTAATCCACCTTATACTCATAGTTCCCTTTCTAAGGAAGAAAATCTTCAAAGTCATATGTCAGTTTTGAATATCCCGAAGAACCAAAATCTGAACTACCATATACAGCTTTATATATTGGATATATTGGATTCCGAAACTTCATAAGAATCCTTACAAAGAAAGATACATTGCAGTTTCCAGTTAATGTTCAATCAAGCCACTTTCTTCACTCCTCACTAAGATATTGACAGTAGTGAAGTTTTTTTCAAGAGTACGGTGTAACAATATATTCAAGAAGTGGTGTGATTCAAATGTGGATACTCAAAAATTCCAAAGAACTTTTAGACAATTTGAAATCCGAATACCAAAATCAACAGCTTAAAAATTTACGACTTTCAACTTTATACACAACCATTCCCCACGATAAATTAAATTCCAGGCTTTTTGATATCATTGACAACTGCTTTTTTAATATAAATGGAGCTCGTAAATTTACTTACCTGGTCATTAGTCATTTGCAAAATAATTTTGTTAAAACAAATTCTGATTGCACACACAAGTACTCTGAAGTTGACATCGAAAAGATGCTTGAGTTTCTGATTGACAATATGTGGATTTTGGAGACCAGGTCTTCCAACAATCTATTGGAATTCCCATGGGTACCATTATTAGCAAACCTATTTTTGTATTCATATGAAGCAGAATTTGTTCAAAATCTTATACGTGAAAAAAAAAAAGAAAACTGTTGCCTTCAACTCAATATTTAGATATATCGTCGACGTATTGTCAATTAGCAGTGGTAATTTCTATTCCTATGTCGATATATCCTGGTGAGCTTGAGATAAAAGATACCACAGAGTTTGACACATCTGTTTTGTACTTGGATATTTTACTTGAAAAGGACGTTAAGTAATCTAACAACCAAGCTCTGTGATAAACTTGATGACTTTAATTTTCCAATCGTCTACTTCCCTTACCTATGCAGCAATACACCTTCATCACCTGCGTACACCTTCATCACCTTGATTCAATACGTAAGAGCATGCTCTACGTATGAACAATTTCTAAAAAGAGGTAAATTATTGACAAGCAAGTTGATGAAACAAGAATATCAGCAGTCTTCTTTAAAGTCATCATTTTATAAGTTCTATGGTCGATACAACGACCTTGTCAGCAAATACAATTGATCATAGAGTCAAATGCTGACTGACATTTTTCACACTTATTGTCAGTCCATTATTTAAACACTGAATTGAAGACAGATTTTCCCGTTTTTTCCCGATCATGACAAGCAGCACAAGGCGGTTGTGACCGGTTGACAAGGGATGCTCACTCCTCCATGGCACCTGACCCCACCTCTGATGTTTTGGAGGTCCGTGTTTTCTGCTCCTATTTTGTATTGTTTTATGGATTTTGATATTGAATACTGCTCGTTATCTCCAAATTCTTCATTCATGAACCCACTTAAGACCTAATCTTGGCTTGGATTCATGACCTACGAAATCTGTCACCCAGCAGTACAGGAAAAGCGAGTTTGACCGCTCAACAATATAGGCAAGTAAAAAAAAGAATCTAATTCCAATGGAATTCTGTTACCCTTCAATATGCAATCATTGAGCAAAAATTGAATGCATCATGAACAAAAAGGATGGCCATAAATTGCACAACACTTCATTTTATTATGTTTGATATTTATCTTAATTATAATTATTTTTATTATAAATACGTACTGTTTTTAAATTCTTAAAAAATATAACTTAAATTTTATTGAAAATATATTCAGTTAATTATGACGTTAATAATGTCAGTCTTATAAAGAGTTTTTGTATTATGACGTTAACAAAGCAGTTCTGAAAAGTCCATGTAGTATGGCGTCAATAAACACAGTCTTCTGTGTTGTCCTGAAGGATCAGTTCGTCCCGGGGGTCCTGTAAGGAGGGGGCGTACAGAAATATAGTCAGTGTTCCACAGAGGCAGGCAGCAGAGAACAGGTAGAGAAACAGGCGGTCCACCACCATAGCGATATATTTCCAGTCCAACTCTTCCTGTGAACAGAAAGTATACAAAGTTAGGATACAAAATCTCTCTTTATATATAATATGAAAGAAATTCAACCACACATATTTTGCCCACATTGTCTCTTAAATATGGCCTATCAGACCCCTGTAAGAAGATAGTGAAATCAGACACTCGACTTAAGAATGAGGCTTTTTTTTAGAATTATCAGTTGATCTATTGCAAGTTTGTGCTATAATTTTAATAAAGATAACCTTTTTGTTACTTTAACTTAGTAAGTCATATTGATACTGGACCATTTGAGAAAAATATTAAGTAAAAATAGAACATACACAGCGTCGGAATTGAAAATTCACATGTAATTATCCTACACTTAAAGTTTTCTAAAGAAAAAAATGTATGATTCACTTTTTGCAAAAAAATAACAGAATAACACAATATTCGACGTTTGTCCTCTTGATATGACCTTGACCTTTAAAGTACACAAAGAACGGAGAATAAAAGTTACACTGCATTTTATATCAGACTGTTACATGCTTGTTTATTGCTTGTTTATTGCACTTAGATAGTGTAAACACATTCCAAAATGTAAGCGCACAAGTGACCAATATACTGTTAATCACTACTTATTCGCGAGAACTTTATTTTTGCGTAACTACGCGAGACGGAATTGCTCGCGAAAATTTCATTCTCGCGTATAATAGAATTCCTTAAGATTATAGAGAGCAATGACCACAATTCGTGAAAATTTTGTCTCACTTATAAAGAGTTAATGACTATCTCGCGTAAATAAGGTGTCGCGAAAATTAAGTGATCTACAGTATAGGATTCTCTGATTTTTTCACAAAATATGACGCAATCATGCAAAAACTTGTTATTTTTCTTACAGGGGTCATTCATTGTTGTCAATATAGTAATATTATTCTTTTTTTCTCCAGTATTTTTCAAGAAACTAGTAAAAATAGAATCCAGGGGTGTTTTGTACTACCTTAAGTGTAATGAATATTCAGATTGATGGTACTGTAAATGCTTATGGATATTCAGAGTGAGAGTAGACGAGCATGCTTTACATACGAAAAATATGTAATCGGGGCAAACTATTGAATGAGCTTATAACCAAATGTAATCTATGATTTAGTCGAATGCTGACTGAATTTTGACATACCAATAGTTAGACTATTATTTACACTCTGATTTGTGTAAAGATTTTCCCTTTAGCCCTGTCATAACAAGGAGCACACAGCAGGTGTGACCGGTCCACAGGGCATGTTTATTTCTCAAAGGATCATTTTTCCACCTCTGATTCTTTTAGATGTTCATGTTTACTCTGCTGCCGATTTGTTTTGTATTTATAGACTTTTAAGATCTGTATTATAGATGAAATATTTTGACTTACTTTAGGTATCAAGCAGTTCAGGCAATATGATGTTACAGGATTTAAACCATATTACTATGAAATATATGGAGATAACGAACAGTATTCAAGCTCAAAACTCCACTTAACAATACAAAATACGAGCAGAGAAAACACGGACCTCCAAAACATCAGAGGTCGGATCAGGTGCCATGAAAAAGTGAGCATCACCTGCCGACCTATCACACCCGCCATATGCTCCTTCTTAGGATCGGGAAATAACGGAAAATTCCGTCAACAATTCAATGGCATAACAATTAGCATAAAAAACGTCAGTCAACATTTGACTCAATGATAACTTGTATTTGCTGAACTTGTCATTGTATTTACCACAGAACTTACGCAATGATTACTTTAAACGAGACTGTTGATAATCTTTTTTCATCAACTTGTTTGTAAATAATTAACCTCTATTTAGAAATTGTGCTAAATACGTCAGTCTTTCGTAATTCTAAAACTGTTTTCCACCAATTGTAAGTTATTGGTTTATACTAACTTCACGATTTTAGAGGAAGTCGGTATTTATACCTGTTTATACACGGTATATATGGGGTATATATATTTATACACGGTTTTAGAAGAGTCGGTATTTTTACCTGTTTATACACGGTATATATGGGGTATATATATTTATGGGTATTTTTACCTGTTTATACACGGTATATATGGGGTATATATATTTCATTTTTACCTGTTTATACACGGTATATATGGGGTATATATATTTATACACGGTTTTAGAAGAAGTCGGTTTTTTTACCTGTTTATACACGGTATATATGGGGTATATATATTTATACACGGTTTTAGAAGATGTCGGTATTTTTACCTGTTTATACACGGTATATATGGGGTATATATATTTATACACGGTTTTAGAAGAAGTCGGTATTTTTACCTGTTTATACACGGTATATATGGGGTATATATATTTATACACGGTTTTAGAAGATGTCGGTATTTTTACCTGTTTATACACGGTATATATGGGGTATATATATTTATACACGGTTTTAGAAGAAGTCGGTTTTTTTACCTGTTTATACACGGTATATATATTTATATACGGTTTTGTGTTTATACCGGTATATATGTATATATATTTATACACGGTTTTATGTATTTTTTGTTTATACACGGTATATATGGGGTATATATATTTATATCGTCGGTTTTTTTACCTGTTTATACCGGGTATGGATTTACAACTGACCGGGTATATATATTTATACACGGTTTTAGAAGAAGTCTGTTTATACCGGTATATAGTATATATAATCCACCGCCTGTTTATACACGTATATATGTATATATATTTATACACGGTTTTAGAAGAAGTTATTTTTACCAATCGTAAGCCAGGATTTCACGGAAAAATCAACAGAGGTGGGGTAAATATTTATACACGGTTTTAGAAGAAGTCGGTATTTTTACCTGTTCATGATTAGTACTTAGTTGTGTTTTTATCACTTTTCGTTATCTTTACCTTTTTCATTAATGGAAAACATCTTCAATTAACATGAAACAAAATATTTCTACGTTGTCAAACAAAATTTGTACAAATCATCTTTCCCCAGATTTTTGTTTGTTTGTTTGTTTGTTTTTTTGTTTTTTTTTTTTTTGTTTTTTTGTTTGTTTGTTTGTTTGTTTGTTTGTTTTTTTTTTGTTATTTTTTATATGTATGGAAATAATCAAAATGATAATGAAGATAATTCTACGTATAATCTAGAAAGGAAATGAGTAGGTATATAACCATTTTCACTTCGTCGCTCCTCCTGAGTTTGTCGGCTATTAGCTTCACCCCGGTTACAGCTCGCTGCAAACGCTTTGGATATCCCAAAAATTCACAAGAAATAGGGTTTTTATCATCATTTGGAGTCAATAAATGAAGAGAGCAATGATAGTCCTTTCGGACACTATAAAATAGACCGCCTATCACCGAAGGGATTTTCTTCTTACTTCCGGGTCTTCTCATTCTCAAAATACTCGGAAGTATATCTGTGAATACTCGTTTTACCCAGGGACTCATATTATGAGTTGAAGGCTTTCGGTTTGTTATTCTAATTGAACTGACTGCTAAAAATATCGACAACGTCACAAGAATCATTGTAAAAAGAAGATATTTTCCAATCAGTGGTATAACAAACGAAGTCGGAGGATTTATGTCTGAGAGAAGCAGGAAGAACACAGTGAGAGCCAGAAGTATAGAGATGGAGAGAGTGATCTTCTCCCCGCTGTCTGATGGAAGGTAGAATACTAAGACTGTGAGACCAGAAATGGAAAGACACGGCATGATAAGGTTAAGGGAATAGAACAAAGGCCGTCGGCGAAGAGTAATGTTAAAGATTATAAAAGGATAGGAGATATCGCAACAAGGAAAGGACTTTTCCCGCCACGTAGCCGTAACATTAATGATGTCCCACTGAACATTGAAATAAAAGTCCTTTAGATCCACCCCTCTGTTGATCACACGCTCTTCTTTGTCACCAACAATGTACGTTATTGCTTTCTCGTCACAAATGTGTTCCAGATCAATCTGCTCCATGTCGTAAGTCCAAGACCCAAACTTCATAAAACACTCCTGTCTGTCAAAGGGAAAGAACTCAACATCAATAGGACAGTAACTTTTGTAGATGGCCGGCGGTTCCCACACAATTTTACCTGTATTATAAACCTTGGCTTTTATTTTATGAGTCACGATGAAGTCCCCATCCGCACTGGAAAAGAAAAAAAGAAATTGGTACATGATAATATCGCTGTACTAGACATATCGAGTACATTTAAGCATCATTCTAAAAATTTGACTGGGTTGAACTTTACTTTTGATACTTGTACTATAGCCTTTTGTACAGTCATGGTTTGCTTCATTACATTATATAGACGTTATATAGATATATTTCAATCAAATGATAGTTTTTGTTGACCTACTTATTGTATAAAACGATGTCCGGCTTCCAAAGATCAGTGGATGGTATCTGGGTCATATTAATCCCCCCAAAGTCCTGGGGATTCCACATCAGACGGTTATCTGTCCACTCCTGTTTCAAAAAAAAAATACAAATCATTTATTATTATCACAATAATCTACAATTCTTAGTCTCAATCCCATACTTTGATCGCAGTTTAAAAGGCCCCCCTATTTATTATAGATGTAAATAAACAAGTTGTGTTTGTGAAAAAGGGATGCCCTTGTATGGCAGCTAATGGCGAAAGTTAAAATTTCTCAAATGCAAATCGAACTTTGAGGTCAAGGCCAAACTTTCGAACATTTTAATACCCAATTAAGGACTTGCTTTAGTGAATATACCTGCGAAATACGAAAACCCAAGCCCAGATAGTTCAAAATTTATGGCTTAAGATAACTATGCTAAACAGGAAGTCAAATTCCAATGTCAAAGGGTTAAGAATAATGGTACCCAGTGGAAGATGTTTAAACAAGAAAAAATACATGTTAAATATAAAAGCCAATTGTTTAAAGTTAGGGACAAGATTAATTTTGTTTAAAAGCTCAACTCCAAGGTCAAATGAAAGAGATGAAAATTATTGTTATACAACGGAAAATCTTTTCACTTTCTATACTCTTGTGAAATTTTAAAGCCTCAATATTAATAACTGTTGAAAATTAATTGCCAAGCTTAAAACTTTATTTAAAGTAGGTCAAGATATTTATATATTTTCCTTTGGATAACAACAGTTTTGACCCATAGATGTTGATATTGGAGTTTGACCTATTTAAAAAAAAGCATCAAACTTTGTAAAAACTTTTGAACAGCTGATGCTTAGGCTCAATTTTAAATTTCATATGTGCATTTCTCGTGACAAGTCCTTTCTCTGGGTATCAATTATTTTTATCTTGATCCTTGACTTTGTCCCACTTTTTTAAAAACTTTAACTTGACAATAACTTTTAAACAGTCGGTATTTTTGGCTTTCACATTTCAAAATGCTATTCATTGAAGAAAGGGCTTTCTTTGGAAAACATTTTTCATCTCTTGACCTTGGCCTTTTTTCTAAACTTGCATTTGAAAAACTTTAACCTTCACCATAGGCTGCCATACGGGGGTTTCAGTGTTTAACAAAGACACAATTTTTTTGCAAAAGAGGGTTACATCTCAAGGTCAAGAGATAAAAAAGGTCTGTCAAATGCAAGATATACATAAAATATGAAAGCCATAGCGCTCACCAATCAGAAATTATGGCTTCTGATCCCACCTCTAATGTTTTAGGTCCGTGTTTGCTCCTCTTTTGCATTGTTTTATGGACTTCTGAGCTTGAATACTGTTCGTTAAATCTATGTATTTCATGCATTGGTGACGATTTACATATATTTTTAAATAGCAATAACATTTTTAAGTATGTCTATATTTCCTTCCTACTGATTAAGTGTTTTAAAGCAACAGTAATATGATGGAAATTTGATGTTTCTCATCAAAAATATCTCTCTTGCTCACCTGATGTAACCATACACTCGTCTTCATTATCTGGTTTTTCTCATCCTATAGATAGAATCAGATCATTAGAGTTCGTTAAATTGCAATCTTACTCTCAGCTTTTGTTCGGCAAACAGACGCCATTTAAAAAAATCTTTGAAGAATATTTTCATTAGTAGAAATAGTGACGAAAGAAATTTAATAACAGTCTTTTTGAAACTGTTCCTCCTCTTAGTAACATTATTTAGTTTTCTGTAATTTGATGTTATTTTTGACCAAGTTTAAGATAACCGACTGTTACTGTATATATGAAACTCGAATTTACTGAGAGATATCCGTATGTTACATACTGACCAAGGAATGATATAAAAACATTGATTGGTTGCCTTATGTTACAAGTGTATTGAATATTCGTTGAAAGTTAATCCCCTACAATAATAAAGAGAGTTGTATGTTTGTATATCTTTCATTGACAAAGATCGACTGACAATAACAATGGATTTTTAATCTGCCTTTTAGTCTTATCAAAACAAACCCGGCATTATCTGTGTAGCGATAGTTTACTTACAATATTTAACAGCTGTGATAACCTCATTCCTATTTTCACTTTAAGGGTTCCGTTGATGCCCTCGCCGCGTGGTCTCACTAGTTTATTGTAGGCGTGGCCTAACAGTTTATGGATCAGCTGTTCCTCCTCCGTAGAACACAATACCAGGTCCCCGAGTAGCGACCACAGACAGGATATTGCCAGAAACAGGGTCCGGAAGTCTCTCCCCGCCATCTTCATTCTCAGATTCTGTTCTGTTTTTGTAAGAATTTACGTAATCAGAAGGTGCAGTATTTCACACGGCCCAATAATTGTCACTTTGGAAGTTTCATCCTGACGGTTCTCCTTCTTGGTTTATTAGACATTCACTTTCCAAACCCTGCTATTGATCTTTGTTGTTTCCTCTTTTTACACAGATACAATCCTTGTTTTAATTTTAGATGCTTAATTGACGATGTTTAACTTTTTTCTTCATATTGTTCTTTTTGAGAATCGGTATTTAGGAGAACTGTTTGCAGCTTTACCACTAATTGCTTCTTAAACATGAAGTCATGTTATACGATGTATTTTTTTCTCGAGATCGAATGATTATGCTTCTTGTACAATAGTTCTCTTAATGGAAAATTGATATTCAAAATGCTTACGGCCCGACTCTACAAGAAACATATCAGCTGAAATCATGAAAACTTCTAAGGAAACCCTAGTGACTCACTAAATTGATCATTTGGGACTATTATTAAGGCAATATGTGCGAAAATTACATCGTAGTGAAGTTTATAGTATTTTATCATGACTTGACGAAAAAAGTTTTATTCTTCACCGAAGTATAAATCATCGTTCAAATTCTTTGAAAAAAATCTTCAAAATTTATTGTGTATACACTTCTTAGTTTTATACACGATGACATTCAGTTCATCGGCCGTTGTCTGGCCCGATTTTGACCTCTTTTTTTGTGATAATTTTTTGATTCCTTAAAGTTATCCAATTCTCTTTTTTCCTCAGTACACTTTTCATAGTGACGACGATTGGCCGAGTTGTGAATATTTTACCTAGAAAGGATACATAACACAAGCAAAATTTTGATGCACGGAATGATATGAATTTTTTGAACGGAAATAACATGAATAATTAACCCGTAAGATGTAAAGAAATCGGATTTAACAGATGCACCATTTGATGCAATTCCATACAAAATTTTGCACAGGAATCAATTCTGCCACTTTGCCTTGCAAACCCGCTGCGTCTTTTTAAACAAATCATTAATGCAAATTCTAGTAAATCTGAATTTGGAAACAATAATTGGACGGGGGCATTAGAGTGTGCCATTCTTTGTGTCATTTCCAACTGTTGATTACAAGGAATGACAATCGGTCTCTGATTCTTAAGGAGTCTTATTTCGAACTGTCCTTACAAAAATACATTTCCAGAAAGAACAGCATATTTGCATCTTAATAAGAAGTATTCAGAGTGAACACAGATGTCTAATCATGATTATCAAATCTGCATATTCGTTGCATCTCTCATTCAGAGAAGAATCCAAGATGAACGTGCCAAACCCTCTCCTATTGAGTCTACTATATATGACCAATTTAATGTCAATTGCGGTTTCTTGTATGGGCATACACTTTTGGAGGTGGGGATATTATAGGGTGTTGTTTTGTGTAGATTTATTTATTATTTATTTATTTATTCATTTTTGATTTCTTTCTTTACTATTTTATTTTTGCATTTTTGACTTTGTTTGGTTTTACTTTTCAATTGATTGTTTTGTTTGCGTTTGTATTGGCTGTTTTCCTTTTGTATTTTTGTGGTTGTTTGCTTGTTTTTATAAGCTTTGTAATTTTTTGTGAGTGCCTTATATCAAAAAGATGGAGTTAAGTGAACGCGCCTGGCCTAAAAATGTATCTGTCCCTGCAAATCCAATTAAAGTAAACCAATGCACTGGTCGTTCCTGTAATATTTCTATTTGAATGATTGTATCTTGTTTAACGTTCCATTTAAGAAATTTTCACTAATAAAAAGACGTCCCATTATATAGTCCATAAAACAATATAAAACGGGAGCAGAGCATACATGGACCTCCAAAACATCAGAGGTGGGATCAGGTGCCATTGAGGAGTAAGCAACCCCGTCGACCGGTCACGCCCGTCATGGGTTCCTTGTCATTATCGGGAAATAACGGGAAAATCAGTCATCAATTCAAAGTATAAATAATGGACTAACAATAAGTATGAAAAACGTCAGTCAGCATTTGACTCAATGACAAATTGTACTTGCTGACAAGGTCAATGTATCGACCATAGAACTTACGACATGATGACTTTAAACGACACTGCTGATATACTGGTTTGATCAACTTGTTTGTCAATAATTTACCTCGTTTTAGAAATCGTTCATACATACTTGCGTGTTGAATCAACTGAGATGTATAAACTCCGTATGCAAGCCACAGCAAGTGTTTTCTTCTTTTCACGTATGAGATTTTGGTCAATTTCTGTATCATATGAATACAAAAATAGGTCTGTTAATAACGGATCGAAATTGGTACCCATGGGAATTCCAATGAACTGTTGGAAGACCTGGTCTCAAAAAACAACATAGATATTGTCAATCAGAAACTCAAGCATCTTTTGGAAGTCAACATCAGAGTACTTGTGTATACAATCAGAATGTTTTTTACATAATAATTTTGCAAATGACCAATGACAAGGTAAGTGCATTTACAAGTTCGATTATTATTGAAAAAGTAGCTGTCAATTATATCAAAAAGCCTGGAGAAAAGTTGAAAAGTACGTTTTTAAGCTGTTGATTTTCATAAAATCTTGTGATGAAACATATGCATTATTATCCATTAAACAATACAAAATAGGAGCAGAGCAAACACGGACCTCCAAAACATCAGGGGTGGGATCAGGTGCCATGGAGGAGTGAGCATCCCCTGCCGACCAGTCACACCCGCTTTGTGGTCCTTGTCATAATTGGGAAATAACGGGAAAATCCGTCGTCAATTCAAAGTATAAATAATGGACTAACAATAAGTATGAAAAACGTCAGTCAGCATTTGACTCAATGATAAACTGTATTTGCTTACAAGGACTTTGTATCGTCCATAGAAGTTACGAAATGATGACATTAAACGAGACTGCTGATATTCTTGTTTCAACAACTTGTTTGTCTATAATTTACCTCGGTTTAGAAATTGTTTGTACTCTTGTATATCGAATTAACTGAGATATATAAACGCCGTATGATTTCAAATTGTCCAAAAGTTTCTAGGAATTGTTAAGTATCCACATTTGATTTACACCACTTCTTGAATACATTGTTGCACAGTTCTCTTGAAGTTTCTTCTTCACTAATATTAATATCTTAGTGAGGAGAAAAGAGAGTTTTAGTTGAACATTTATTGGAACCAGCTATGATCTTTGATTGTGAGGATTTTTATGAAGTTTTGGAATCCAATACATACATGTATAGATATGGTACTTCAAATTCATTTTGGTTCTTTGGGATATTAAAGATATTCAAAACTGACATATAATTTTGAAGAATTTCTTCCTTAGAAAGAGAACTCTTAGTATAAATTGGATGAACACTTGTAGAATAAAATCCAGGTTCTTCTTGTTAAAAAATACAATTCTGCATTTAGTTCAATGCATTTACGTTTACGTTTTTCATTATTTTCAGACTAAATTGTCTAAGGATTTTCCCGTTTTTTTTTTCGCGATCATGACAAGGAGTATGCGGCAGGTGTAACTTGTGATCAGGTGATGCCCAGACACTCCCTGTATGGTATACCCGATTTACCTCAGATGCTTATATATCAGAGGTCCGTGGCTCGCTCTGCTCCCGAATTGTGTTACATTTCAATGGAATTTGAAGCTTGATTACTGATTGCTGACTTCATGAATCGGTCCTCTATTGTCAACTTCTCTATCTTTATTAATTCTTCTGATATGTTGATGCATATTTGTTAGGTCATGGGAAAGGTAAATTTGGAACGCTAGTATTGCAGGAAAAATACGGGGCGGGATGAGCACGGCGAAGCTTGAGCACTCACATTAAGGCCTTCCTTGTATCTTCAAAAATAATAAAAGACTTGTTCCCAAAATATTGCATATTTGTCGACTTTATTTACGACATTGCATCAATCCACAATCCACACAATGTTTCCAACCAAACGCCTAAAAATTTAAACAGACATTAAACATCAAAACTTGCTTCGGTGAAGTTCCCAACAAATCTTTGGTACGGTACTGAAATATGTGCCAACTCAAACAATTAAACATCTCTGTTATATCTGTCTCGGTGTGTTAAATTTCGCGGTCTCTGTTTTGCTGAAGCAGACAAAAACAAAGACAGAAAACTTCCGATGTTTTGTGATTTCGATGTTCTCGTGTACCGTTACTTGCCTCTTTTTTTTATCTCGCGCTGCGTGCGACTTACAAAATAAGGTTTATTGTGATTTCAGTATTAAAACAAACGTGTCTGTGGGTCTCGACCCCAGCATATGTTATAAACCTCGTTATCACTTTTATTTCACCATATGTCATAACTAATATATCACAGCGCCACCTGTCTGATAAGTGTTTTATCATCAACAAAACATACGATAAGATAAGACAAGGTTTCTTTGCCGGCGACTCAAATTCTTTAAGTTTCAATCCAGTATCTACTGATGATTATAATACATTAAAAATACGCAAAAAAAAATGTATTTTTAAAAAAATGGTACATGTTCATCTGCATCTTTTAATAAGGTTTGTTTAATTTGTTCGGTTTTAATGAGATATTAACCGAGTTAGAACACACGATGATTACCAGCTTTTTCCAGCGGTGAAGCTGTATAAACCCCGAATCGGTACAAGGAATACTGTATGGTTCTCTCGGCGTTTGTTTTCAGATCAGCAGCGATCAATTAGTGAGAAGATAGAGAAGATTGGTCGAGAATTTGCTTAAGCGAGTGTTCGCTGTTAATAACAGCGTGGATATCGTTAGCCCTGATTGCTTCCATGTTAAAATGTCTAATTCTGTTTGTTTTTAAATGAGCTTATTTTGACTGGCGTGATTTGTAAGTAAATCACTCAAAAACGTAAATTTTCCTCTCAGACAAGAGAGTGTTTTGTACATTTCTTTCATTCGTGTCATAAAAATGCATTTACTACAAATATGATGACGGGGTAGAAATATGGACACATTGCTTAATTCTCTATAAACGGTCTCATCTAAATATCTATGTAACTATGAGTAAAATCCAGAAGAAGAAATTTTAATTTTTTTCTCTTCCTTGTTAGGTTGTAATTAAGCAGCACACACACTCTCAGAAACACCCTCTCACGAATGTTGTCTGATATGAATCAGTATAAATCTACATTCTTTTGGTGCTGTTTTTAGATTCAGTAAATTTTGTTTGATAGACATTATTCATTTCTTACTTTCCAAAAATTAGATACAAAATATGCCTCGTATTCTGCAGGGGATTCAGATAGAAATTAATTTTAGCAGAGTGGGGAACTGGTTGTTTTTACTTAAAATTTTATGTTGGGTTTACTGTTTTATGTAGAACATAATTAAGGATAGCCTAAAATATTTTATACATATATACGGATATATCGGCATATTGTTACTCCACCAGTGAAAGAATTTATTTTTCTTTTAGAAAGAACATGTTATTTAATTTCTCTTCGGAGAATGTTATTCTCACTCTGACCTAAGAAAATAATGCCTTTAATCAGCATTTCGTATATATGAACGTAGAGCAAAAATGATATTGAAATAAATTGTTAAAAGAAAAAAAAACCTAGAACCATAATTGGCATAAATAGTAAAGTTCAATCTCTGAGCATTAAATTTTAATTTAGTATTATTGAAGTTCACAATTAATAGTCCATTAACGATTCTAAAAAATCAATGATTCTTAAATAACGAATAAGACCATGGAAGTATGCAAAGCTTTTTTAATTGAACGAGTTTTTTTTTTCTCGAGATCCAGAGATGACCTGGGGTGGAAGAGAACCACTGTGGAAATCTAATCTCCGGAATATGATCAAAGTCAGCTGGAGCGTCACCAGCTGCTGCATGTCTGTCTGCGGTAAACACAGGACAGCTGCCTCTATCTTATATCTCAAATGAGACTCAAATTTAGAATATCTTCAGAAAAAAGTAATGTCAATGTTCCATCCACCAATGTTCTATAGAAAAAATACTAAATCTCAAACATGACTTCTCTGTGATACGAATGGATGATTGACAAAAGACAAAATTATCTATATGACTACATTTTTTTATTCAAACTTAATGATAGATAGACATAGAAAATAAGTTAAGAAGGCTCTATATAACTGTTTGATGACGTACTACACAAAAAGATAAACCTTCCACTGAGGGACGAATTGTACATGCTTGCTTTTTTAAATCATCTTAATCCTTAAAACGCTTGAAAAAAGATTAAATGTGCACATCATGAAATTATACTTTTTACGTAATCAGAAAAAAGGTTAAAAATCCCTTCAAAATATTTATATCAACCAAATTTCGATATTTGAAATCCATATGTATAATAAGTGGTGCTTTAATGAAATATAAAGTAAATTGCGGTGTATTATTAGCCTCCTAATTAAATAAAATCTGTCGATTCGACATTTATTACCAAGTGATTTGTATAATCTTTAATAATATCACATTTTACAAAAAAATGCATTAATATACATTTTATCTTATTGGCACATATGTACTAATAATAGTAATATTACTAGTAATAAATACATTTAATTCTCTCTCTCTCTCTCTCTCTCTGTGATATGTGGTGTCCTTTTCAACGACAATTTAAAATTTATCGTTAAACATTATATCTTGAATACTGCTGCCGAAGTCCTTTTGGTTTTGATGGAGGAAGGTTCTTGAATTGAAAAAAAAAATTTGTAAAGGACCCGGTTGATGCATGAAGAAGTAAATTTTAAAATCGTTGTTAAACTTAGTTCTGAAACTTCCACAAAAGAGAATGACATCATAATCAGAATTCGGGTTTGATACAGCTGTCGTCAGAGGCTTGCGGGGTTAAAGTTCGCCTGTCGTCATATAGTGTGGGAGCCTGGAGAATAATTCCAAAAGTTCCAACTACACAGGCTATCGTAAATATCCACAGAAATAGTCTATCAAGCACCATGGCCACATACTTCCAGTCTTCTTTTATCTGCAATTAAAAGTGATCATTAAAAAGTCGTCATTTTTGCATTACTTAAAGCTTCTTAAATTAATTTAAATAGTATTCTACTCAGAAACCAAATATTAATGAAGTACACATACTAAATATGAGTACGAGATATGCCATTTACCGAGTTTTCTTTGTCATCTTTTTTCAAATGTTCAGCAATAAAACAAACACTGTCCACAGCGTCTTTAATCTCCCGGGGAACCGGTTTATATCGACGACGCACGCTCAGTTCCGTCTCCTTTGTTACACTAATTGGTTCGGCCTCGTCATTCAAATTGCTATTCTCGAATTTCCTCTGTTCCGCTCTGCGGCGTATCATGTGTTTATAGGATTCTGTCATTTCTACACCATTACAAGTCTTTATCACTCTTGTTGTACTATGTTCATTGTCTAGGTTTGGCCGTCGCATGATGAGAAGCCGCGGTAGAACGTTAAGAAACACTCTCCTGACCCAGGGCGCCATTGTATGAGTAGATGGCGACCGGAAGTGAACATTGAGCACTATCACAGTCACTAAGATGGATAAAGTCACAAGTATCATAGTAAAAAGTAAATATTTTCCTATTAATGGAACGACAATAGAGGTTGGGGGAATTATATCTGCAAGAAGCAGAAAAAACACAGTTAAAGAGAGTAAAATTGAAATACAAAGAGTGATTTTCTCGCCACTGTCACTTGGGAGATAAAAGACGAGGACTGTCAGAAATGATATAGACACACAGGGTATGATCAGATTGACGGTGTGGAAGAGGGTCTTCCTCCTCATAGTGATGTTGAATGTGATGTCTGGGAAGGGGGAGGGGCAGCAGATGTAGCGTTTATAATTTTTCTGGGCAGACCCCTCCAAGATGTCCCATTCAACACTAGGATAGAAATCCCGGAAGTCGATTCCTTTGTGAATGACTTCCGTAGATGAGCTGTCGGACACACAGAGATGAACGAGATCCACTTGGTTCCCGTCATAAGTCCACGACCCAAACTTCATGATGCACAGCTGAATATCAAAGGGGAAGAACTCCACGTCAATCATACAAGAGCTTTTGTAAATGGCGGGTGGTTCCCACACCACTTTGCCATCTGGATGGAGAATGGCTTTTGTCATAAGTGTTACCTCATAATTACCATCAGCGCTGAAAAACAACAAAGAGAAAATTATACATTGTCTCTTTCAATTTCTCTTTCTTTTCAAATAAACTTGTTCTGTAACATGTTTCCTGTTCATATAATCAGAGTTGAGCGAATGCAGCTAGATAAAGAAAATACAAGGTAATAGTACATGTATTCCTACATCTCTGACATTGTGCCTTTCACTCTAATATCTATCAGTTTAAGCTTTTTATAAGTTTTAGCCAATGATGGTTCCTCTCCATGGCTTTTGACTGCGTTTTCCCAGGTTTCATTCTTATAATCTCCAAACCTACTCACTTGTTGAAGAGTACAACATCCGGGTTCCAGATATCGTCTATAGGGACCTCTATCGTCTGAATTCCGCCATACTCAACTGGATTCCAGATCAGACCCTGGTCATACCACTCCTTCCGGTAAATAGAGGGGTCAATAGGTTAAAGGTTGAGTAACCTTACCTTTGTTATTTGTTAGTAAGCCAGCCACCACCTTGAGTTATTTGTGATCAAAGCGAAGAAACATGGAAGGCAATTGTCATTTATGGAGAAAGAAATGCTTCAAAAAAGTTTTCATTGTTAATTCATGCATGTAATGAATAACAATTGCTATTTAATGTCTAAATATTCTTAACGTTTTAAAATGCCTTCCATGTATCTTGTGAGCTAGGAATAGTTGTCCTTTCCACACCGTGCAGAAGCTTGCAGTTAGTTGACAAGGTTATATGGTGTCGGGGGAAATATAACGCCCATTCTCCTCATAATGTAATTTTGTTGACAGAAGTTCGAAAAATTGAAAATAAAAATTAAAATAATTAAATAAATGGAATAAGATTTTTACACCTTGCTGAAATTCTTGACTCTCTACTCACTTATTATATAATACAATATCCGGCAGCCAAATGTCTTTAGCAGGAACGTACAATCTATCCACACCACCGTATTCCCTTGGGTTCCAGGAAAGTTTGTAGTCATACCACTCCTAAGCAAGCAGCGAGGAATAAAGGTGACAGAGAATTAGTAATCAGGGTTACAGGAAAGTTTGGAATCACTACTCCCAAGCAAGCAGCGGGGACTAAAGGTGAGAGAGAATTAGTAACAGGGTTACAGGAAGGTATGGAATCGTACTACTTCCAAGCAAGTAGCGAAGAATAAAGGTGAGAAATGTAATAATTAGAAATCAAGTCTACAGGGGATGATGGCAGAGGTTAATGTGAGAGCGGAGGTGCTAATCAGGTCAAGCTACTCACTTAGATCACAATAACATACTAAAAATAATGTTTTGAATTAAGCCATCACTTATGTGTACATATTCAAGAAAGCTATCTTATGATAAAATTTATGTTAAAAAAAATCGAGGCTTTTTTCAGTTAAAATTTACAAATGTCGGAATTCATATTTCATAGTACGCTTTGATACACTTCTTGAAAGAAGTTAATTAGATACTGTGCATACAGATTATAAAGTATTGTGCTAACCACTACTTTACAAATTATAAATTTACTCAGTATGGCAACCACTTGATAGTAAAAAGCAACGTGAATCAAAGTGACATTGCTGGCAAGAGAATGAGGTATGTAAATGGAGAACAAAGTGTAGACATGCATGCAAGGCATGTGTGACAGCTCTGAGGAGGGGATATATAATTATAGAAGTGATTTGTATTATCTACACACTGTTAACTAAGTATATACTGCATACTACAAGGCTTCAACAGATGCCAAACAGAAAAGCCGTGAACACGGCGTCCCCGAACAACGACCCAGAACGACCGATTCCCCTTTATACAAAGTCAAGATATCAATTTAAATAGATTCCCCTTTATACAGAGTGGGATATCTCATTAATTTAAATAAATCTGATTAATTTCAAAGCTAAGAACACATTCATCCAAAGTAAAATATACATGAATTTCCAGTTCATTTTTATGTTTTTGTTTATAATTTAAGATAGTAATATCGCGGCATTAAATTATTTGCCTTTGATATTTTTTAAAAATAAAAGATGAAAAACAACGTATCATCCCGTTTGAACGCGTTCCTAGAGTGCCCGAGCTCTCAGACATTGTTATTAACTCTATCAAACACCTCCCTAATTAGATAAACCGTAATGAAATCTTCGTTTGAAGTTTTTTTTCTGAATTCCCCGCTGATCAATACCTGTCTCAGCCAAACATTGGTGGTCATGATCTGGTTCTTCTCGTCCTGTTAAAGACACAAAACAAACACATGTAGAAAAGACACAAAACAATCACATGTAGAAAAGACACGAAACAAACACATGTAGAAAAGACACAAAACAAACACATGTAGAAAAGACACAAAACAAACACATGTAGAAAAGACACAAAACAAACACATGTAGAAAAGACACAAAACAAACACATGTAGAAAAGACACAAAACAAACACATGTATAAAAGACACAAAACAAACACATGTATAAAAGACACAAAACAAACACATGTAGAAAAGACACAAAACAAACACATGTATAAAAGACACAAAACAAACACATGTAGAAAAGACACAAAACAAACACATGCAGAAAAGATTTAAAACAAACATATGTAGCAAAAATGACCATTTAAAACATCAGGCTGACACACAGATTTAGTGCGTACATTGAAAAATTTGTTTTTCCTTCGAAAAAATTTTCTCTGAATTAAAGGTTAAACATCAGTTAACATGTTTGATTTCTTGTCAATTTGTATGAAATTAATAGTTATTTAGAATGTTAATATCAAGTTTATGACGTCACGGCACTGCCACATGTAAGAAGCATTTCATGAAAAAAAAAAGTTTTTAATTTTTGTTTTGAAATAATAAGTAGCCTTATTTAAAAGAACCCCTAAATTATATATTCCATTGAAATGATTCATAAATTTATCGTATTGTAATTATTTTTTGAAATTTATAAGGTGGATGTAAATGCAAAACTTTCCTGCTAATTCCTACAACATATTCAATATTTTGTTGGTTCATTAATTGGTGTAATACATGTAGTTATTTGAAATCAATTCATTAGATAATTAAAATAGCGAGGAAAAAATTCAGAGGTTCATAGGACATTTAATATGGATGGTTCATGGCTTTTGTGTTTTTTTTAAAGCAATGTTTAATCCTATAGAGCTCGAAGATTAACCACAAATCTTGGTTCCAGTTCTTCAGCATTGATTTTCTGACGCTCTACAAAGACTCTGTGAGACCCTGCAGATAGTCTCCTCTTGAGGACATTGCGTGACGTTTTTAACTGAACTAAGAAATCATAGTCGTGTGTACTTTGCACTCAAGAATGTGTGAAGTAAATGAGCTGTTTTATCCCAAGCACTTGTTCCAAACTGTGTGGGTTCTTAACACGAAAAATAACAAAAAGATTCATTTTGATGATTAGAAATAGGATAGAGAGCAAACAACACGCGTTTTCTCGAGTAAAGATATATTATTTACAGGTGAAATACACTGATTGTGAACTTTGAATAATATAGTTTGATCATCTTGATATTCAACAAATGCAAAATCAGTTATGTCCTCATGAAACATTAAGAATAATAAAAATTTTCATGGTAACACGAGAGAAAGAGAGAAAGAGACAGGGAGTTTACAAAAGAAAACAATAGCCTGTGTCTTAGTCATCAGTTGTCATTTATTTTTATAGGTGTCTTGATTCCACTTAATTAATAGATCTTCTACATTTAAGGACAGATGATACAAACAAAACAATAAATTTCTGGACAGTGTTTACTAGCAAATGAGGAGAATATGTGCCGCGACCCTCCTTCCTGGTTGTTTTTAGTTGAGATGTTTTTTACGATGTAAACTTCAAGTTCAAGTTCATTTATTCACTCAAAACCATTTAAAATACATGGTACATGAGGACTTTTTTGAAAAATTTTAACATATATACATTGTCATTATTGATATAAAATTTGAAGAGAAAAAACATAAAATAAAAAGAAAAAACACATGATAATGAGATGCAGAAAAAAATTTGAACATATATTTTTTATAAACATACAGAGTTTTTAAAGTGACATATCATTGAAAATTAAGTTGTTATTTTTAAAATTTTTGATAAAAGTTTGTAAAAAATGGAATTCATCAGCAACATGTTTAGCATTATAAAGTGTAAGTCATTTTAAAACATTCCCAGCTCAACTGGTAGATTATTTGAAAATCGTATTTTTCTAAATTTTAATGGCAAAATATAAAAACTTTTCACACTCAAAATTTGTTTTAAAAATTTTATACAAAGTAAAAGAACTGTTAATATCAGAATCTATAAATTTTTTTTTAGATAAAACAATAAATTTCTAGTGTTTTAGCAAATGAAGAGAATGAAGTTGTATTCTATATATAAATGAACCCTTTTTTTTTTTTTATAACTTTACATGTCATTATTGTGAAAATTTAATTATAAAATAAAAAGCTATGCAGTTGAACTTATTTTTTATTATAAAGACATTGATTAAGTTGTTATTTTTAAAATTTTTGATAAAAGTTTGTATCATCTGTCCTTAATATGTAAGTCATTTTAAAACATTCAGTAATTAGCAAAATTGTAATAATATCTTATTTTTGATAAAACATGCATGAAGTTGTATATATGTTTTTTTTGTTTTTGTTTATGGGGCTATTTTCTTTTTATTTATAAATTCATTGTTCATCCTACTTCAGCAAAATTGTAATAATATCAATGTACATGCATGTAAATGTTTTTATTGGGTCTGCAAAATATATCCGAATAATGTATTCCTCCGCGACAGATCTTGGGATTTATTTGACAAGGGACAATTTATCACGCTGCCGGAAGAGTTGACGCGGGAATCAGCGGATATCAGAGACGATTTGATGAGGATAGACCGTAAACTATTGAATAAATCGTGCAGAATATGAATGATGAACTCATACAATGATATTAAATCAATCAAGTCAGATTGGTAAGACTTGTTCATCAGAGAAACCATTGTTGATAATTGTTGGTCCTTGGGTTATCTTCAGCGTATTTATTCGGTTTCTCTTTGTACACACAAAGGGATCACATTTTTATGTTTTTTGTCACTATTTTTCTCAATAAAAAATAGAATTGGGCTCAATTACGGATAAAAAAAAATGATTCCTTTTACTTAAGGGAGTATTACACTTTTAAGGTTCAAGAAAATTAAAGAAAGTTTGGCTTGAATACTGTTCCATTATTTCAATAATATATTTCACTACATACAAATATGACTCATTTGAAACCCCCCCCCTCTCTCTCTCTCTCTCTCTTGCTTCTATGTCATGTATTCTGGACCCTAGCTGGAGATTATTTGTAGCTCGCTGCTCTGAAAAAAAAATGGTATTGAACGTAACAAGACATTCCCCAAAAGCTGGGCCTAAAATGAAACCATTGAAAATATTGTCCATTTATATTTCATTTGCGGGTGGCAACACCATGTGGTCCAACGTTTTATGCATGACTTGAATATTCTGAGCACTGTTAAAATACAAGAATTATATATAAGGGACAATGATTAGTTTTTCTTGGATGGACGCTTGAAAGTTGAGAAACTGTACTCGTGTATGTGCGCAATTAATATGACCATTATACATGACACTGTACCTATCTAGCCGTTCATTTGAATACCAGCGATCTACGGATCAAGGTTCAAAATTTCTGGCCAAACTCAGCTCCTATTTTGTATTGTTTTATGGACTTTGATATTGAATACCGTTCGTTATCTCTATATCCATCTGTTAGTTTATGTGCCGCGACCCTCCGTCCTGGTTGTTTTTAGTTGAGATGTTTTTTACGATGTAAACTTCAAGTTCAAGTTCATTTATTCACTCAAAACCATTTAAAATACATGGTACATGAGGACAATGAAAAATATTTACAGCATATATACATTCAGGTCAGAGGTATAAGTGTATGATATACATAATAAGACAATGAAATGGGGGAAAAAGAAAAAAAATGAAGAGAAAAAAATGAAAAAAAGGGAGGAAAAAACACATGATAATGAGATAAGTGAGAAAAAAAATTATGGAGGACAGACTAAATCATATATTTTTAATATAAACATACAGAGTTTTTTAAGTGACATATCATCTTGTTTTGTTATCAGTTGAGAAAATTTAAGAATATTCGGTCTAGTAAAATAGTATTCATTAATATGCTTTTTCCTGATGTTTGACAGTGCAGTACATTCAAGTAAAAAATGGAATTCATCAGCAACATGTTTAGCATTATAAAGTGTACATAATCTTTCACTTAATGGTATAGATGCCCATCTTCCCAGCTCAACTGGTAGATGGTGATTAGCAGTACGAAATTTGACACGTATTTTTCTAAATTTTAATGGCAAAATACTTAAATACTTTTCACACTCAAAATTTGTTTTAAAAATTTTATACAAAGTATCTTTAGAAGAACTGTTAATATCAGAATGCTAATTTTGTATAAATTGGTCTTGTAATCTTTGTTCAGACTCCTAGACTTACAGTGTATACAAACAGTTTGCTGCATAAGTAGTATAATAGTATTTGTAAGGAACAATGATTAGAATTAATTACGGAGCGTATACGGAGGAATTAGTCAATGAACTGCACGCTTGTTTGTACGCAATAAATATGCACCAATTTCAATTGATGCCAATTCTCTGGCCACCCATCTTAATACCAGCGATCTAAGAGCCAGAATTCAAAATAAGGGGGGAAAACCAACAGAAAAAACCCACAGGAATAATATAAGTTCTGTTTGTTAAGGTGCCCCCCCCCCCAAAAAAAAACCCATTGCCATCCTGCCATTCCTGGTGTTTTTAGTTGAGGGTGGGAGTTTAATGATAAAATCTTCAGACTTCTGTGGTACAAGTCATGCATAAAGTGTTAGACCGCATTGTCTTGCCACCCACAAATGCAACATAAAGAGCCAAATTTTGCTATGGTGTCAGTTTCAAGCCCAGGTTTTGTTGCCTGTTTTGTCGTGTTCTATAGTTCTATGGTTACTATTCCAATTTTTATTTCAGACCAGGGAGCTACAGATCTGCAGCTTCAGACAAGAATGAAACAAGAATATCAGCAATCTCGTTTGCAGTCATCATTTCATATGTACTATGGATAATACAATGTCCTTGTCAGCAAATACAATTTATCATTGAGTCAAATGCTGACTGACGTTTTTCATACTTATTGTTAGTCCATTATTTATACACTGAATTGACAACGGATTTTTCTTATTTCCCGATCATGACAAGGAGCACAGGGCCGGTGTGACAAGTAGGCAGGAGATGCTCACTTTTCCATGGTACCTGATCCCACCGCTGGTGTTTTAGAAGTCCGTGTCTGCTCTGCTCCTATTTTGTATTGTTTTATGGACTTTTGATCTTGAATACTGTTCGTTATCTCCATACATGTACGTTTCATGAAAAAGAGAGGGTTCAAAGGATTTATACGTGTTCTTTGTAGTTTTATTATATGGATAATGAATATGTGAAACTTTATATACAGTGCAGAACAATGTACACGAGGATAACAATAAATTAGGTTTCTTATTGTATATATACATATATCTTCTTATTTTTCATTTTCTTAATGTGCAACTTGATCCGTAGATCGGCTAGGTAAGTACAGAGTCATCTATAATGTTATACTAATTGCGCACACACAAGCGTACAAATGTACAGTTCCTCAACTTCCAAGGGTCCATCCAAGAAAAACAATCGTTGTTTCTTGTATATCATTGTACTACTTTCATAGTGCTCAAAATATTCAAGTCATGCATAAAGCGTTGGGCCGCATTGTCATGTCACCCACAAAATGGCACAAATACAATATAATTTTAGGCAATCTTTTCGATGGTATAAATTTCAGACCCAGGTTATGGGAAATGTTTGTTATGTTCTTTAGCTCTCTGGTTTCCATTCCATTTTTTAGAACAACGATCTACGGATCTTCAGCTAGTTTCCAGAATGCATGACATTGATATAAATGAGAGAGAGAGAAGGCTCAAAAGATTTGTATATTTGTATTTTTGTTATGTGGTGAAATATATTTAAAAGATAATGAACAGTATTCAAGCTCAAAGGTCCATCAAACAATGCAAAATTGCAGTAGTGCAAACACGGACCTCAAAAACATCAGGTGGTCTCAAGTGCCGTAAAGAAATGTGATTATAAGAAAATAGACACTTAGTGCAAATATAATATACATGTAGAAAAAGTAATTAAGATTTTTGTTTAGTGTGATTAAAAAGGAGGTAACTTTAATTCTATGATTTCAAAAAAATGTGTCCTAAAACATTTCCTGCATGTAAAATTAAGACCCTCTCCTTCATTTTGGGAATGAATGAGTTTAGAATGCTTTGGGGTTTGGCGTACAATTGAAAGCATAGACATCAATACAGACATTTTCACAACTGTAACCCGCTTAACTCGTTCTATATCAATATACAAACAATAAGTTTCAAATTTTTAAACTCGTCAATGGATTTCAAAAGTTTTAAACACACATTTCTTTTTATATTTTTAAAGGGAATAATTGGAATAACTGGGCCGACTTTGTGTCGGTTCTCCATTAATAATCAATAATACTACCAAATACCAATTACAATTGTGTATTTGAATGAGGCTTTTTGAATATTCATATAAGTGCTGGAATTGTGGAGACATTCTCCTCCAAATCAACAAAGCTGGCTCGGGAGAAACAAAGGGGACCCCATCTATCCCCTGTTCTACTTCCCAACTAGTGACCAAGGCAATGGGATAAGTATATTGAAGTACTAGGATATCTGCATGAGTTCTTTTTGTTTTTTCATTGATTTCAGCGTAGTTTCTCTTCAATTAACAAACCAGCAGTAATGTAAAGAATTATCAAACGTTTCATGAGGGGGCAGACTACAAAAGAAATCCATAGTCCAATGTCCAGAATTGATTAATATTGCATAAATAATTGTTTGGCATTTTTCTCGACAAATTTCAAAAAGACCGTTTGAAATCTGCAACTTTGGTTTAATATTAAAAACGATAGATTGACATTGGGGAGGCTAAATGGTATACTTAAATTTATTGACCGGTATACAAAAACTTTAATGATGTCTTTGAAAGCATAAACCCAACAGTTTCCGATGTTACACATTAGACAATACGGGACATCGATGTAGAGTTAAGTAGATAAGAGTGGCTGCTATAACAAAGAATACTCACTATGTCAATCAGCTGGGACAGGCGAATCCCCATCTTGACGATTAGTTTGTCCGAACTATTGCTCACAGGGCGAATTAGTTTGTTATAGGAGCGTTTTAACAAGTCGTAGTACAGACGCTTAGCGTCTTCATTTCCAGTTACAAAGAGAATCAAACAACATAATATCCAACAACAAATTTTCGTCATTTCTCAGGAACTTTAAAGTACAAACTCGTACACATCCGAAGGAGCAACAATTTCTCTCTCTCTGCTCTAGCCAGATGTTACGAGGGGAAAATAATTCTTTCGCAGTCATTAATTGATTTTTCTCATTTTGTTGAATATAGCGGTCATATCTATGTGAACTGGGTCTTATTTTGTCAAATTAGACGTAGATTAATGTTTACTTATGAGATCGGAGTGGGGCATTGTAAATCACTGAAGATCAGTCATATTGTTAGAGTGACACGCGCGCCACCTACCGGCTGTTTTTGAGTATCAGAAGAGAACACGGTATGTATCAGAGAACTACAAACTGCTCCTCCGTAATTGATTTGGCAGATATATGTGTTCTGAACGGAACTCTAACAAATTCTACAGGAACTGTTTCCGGAGAAGCACATGTGCTACTGGTGTATAACATTACATAACAATAAAGTTAACCCCGCCAGCTAAAGAATTTTAACGGATTTAAGAGCAGTAATTTATTGAATGTGTATCTTCTGTAACGATAATAAATACGAAAAATGAAGACAAGCTTACGTGAAGTCTGCCAGAAACATATTTAAGGCTATTCTTCAAAATATTCATATTTCATTCTATTTTTGCGTCTGTTTTCAAATTCTCTGAAAATGTAAAAAAAAAGATTGTAAAGCTACATGAGAACGAATTTCGTGATAATACAGACAGATCAAATGATAATAATAAAAGAAATCATACATTAAAGGATTGCAAATAAACGAAAACAAGCATCTCGTACATGTATAATCATATAAGTCGGAAACTTCGAAAATAAAATTATCAAAACAACTTATACTGTGTTCGACTTCTAATATTAGCATTCTGTACGAATATTAATATAAAAGAATAATTTGTATTTTCTACCTCCTATATAATTACGATTTCTTTGTAAAAAAAAAAATAGATTTTCAATTATTCATAAAAATAAAAGAAAATCTGTAATTGACATTCTATCACTTACAAAACAAATCTTAATCTTACAAAATATGCATGTTCTTTACATTTAAATTCCAGTAAGAGTTTCAAGTTTAATGCTTTTTTTACAACAAATAATTTTCACTTTTTGTTTATTCAGAAATCTATAAAATAAAACTTATTTCACGACAATTGCTCTGTTTTGTTGGATTTTTCTAAGTGTGTATTAGCACAAGTATTTTTTTTTTAATTTCCTTCAGTCTTATTTTAATAAAATCTATTTCCGATTGAAAATCCACTTACATAATTTTGCCATATGCATGTCGCAAATAGAAAAATAAAGACTAAATGAAATATATGGAGAACAGTATTCAAGCTCAAAAGTTCATAAAACAATCTAAAATAGGAGCAGAGCAAACACAGACCGACGAAACGTCAGAGGTGGGATCAGGTCCCATGGGGGGGGGGGGGGAGGATTGAGCATCCCCTGCAGATCGGTCACACCCGCCGTGTGCTATTTGTCATAATCATGAAACAACTGAAAAATCCGTCCTCAATTCAGTGTGTAAATACCGGACCAACAATTAGTATGGAAAAGTCAGTCGATATTGATTTGAGTAAAGTATATATTATATACTCTGCATTTAAATTGAAAAATTTTCCTCCACAGAATAAAATGGTACATTTATTCAGAGATATTCAAGATCGCAACACACAAATAAATAAACAACTAATTTAAACAAATGTCCCATTATTGCTTTAGTTTTGAAAATATTATAAACACTTTTTTATCAGCCCAACTTTGATTATGATTATTTTCAAAAGTCCTTTGTTAAACCTTCTGATCAATTTTTATTCATAGGACCGTTGATATATTTATGAAAATTGATAACATCTAAATATCAGAAAAATTATGCTTTCTTCTTTTGATGCAACAGCGACAATTTATAGTGTTTGAGTTTAAAGACTTTACTTCTAGGGTTGATATGCATTAACATAAACAAGAGGCCCAGGGGCCACAGCGCTCACCTGAGCACATTGGCTTGGAAAAAGCACATATCAGATCAGAAATGAAAGTTTACGGGGGGCTTGAATTTTAACCCCCCAGGGGTTCATGATTTGAACAAACTAGAATCTACACTACCTGAAGATGATTCCATATTAATATCACTAATCATAGCTTTGAAGTACTTGAAAAGATGATTTTAAAAGGTTTCCCTATATAAAACTTTGGGTCGGCCATTTTGGCCCTACCCTAGCCCCGGGGGTCATGATTTGAACAAACTTGAATCTACACTACCTGAGGATGATTCCACATGAGTTTCATCTTTCCTGGCCCAGTGGTTCTTGAGAAGAAGATTTTTAAAGATTTTTCCTATATATTCCTATGTAAAACTTGGGTTGGCCAATTTGGCCCCACCCTAGCCCCTGGGGTCATGATTTGAACAAACTTGAATCTACACTACCTGAGGATGATTCCACATGAGTTTCATCTTTCCTGGCCCAGTGGTTCTTGAGAAAAGATTTTTAAAGATTTTTCCTATATATTCCTATGTAAAACTTGGGTCGGCCATTTTGGCCCCACCCTAGCCTCGGGGGTCATGATTTGAACAAACTTGAATCTACACTACCTAAGGATGATTCCACATGAGTTTCATCTTTCCTGGCCCAGTGGTTCTTGAGAAGAAGATTTTTAAAGATTTTTCCTATATATTTCTATGTAAAACTTGGGTCGGCCATTTTGGCCCCACCCTAGCCCCGGGGGTCATGATTTGAACAAACTTGAATCTACACTACCTGAGGATGATTCCACATGAGTTTCATCTTTCCTGGCCCAGTGGTTCTTGAGAAGAAGATTTTTAAAGATTTTTCCTGTATATTTCTATGTAAAACTTGGGTCGGCTATTTTGGCCCCACCCTAGCCCCGGGGGTCATGATTTGAACAAACTTGAATCTACACTACCTGAAGATGATTCCACATGAGTTTCATCTTTCCTGGCCCAGTGGTTCTTGAGAAGAAGATTTTTAAAGATTTTTCCTGTATATTTCTATGTAAAACTTGGGTCGGCCATTTTGGCCCCACCCTAGCCCCGGGGGTCATGATTTGAACAAACTTGAATCTACACTACCTGAGGATGATTCCACATGAGTTTCATCTTTCCTGGCCCAGTGGTTCTTGAGAAGAAGATTTTTAAAGATTTTTCCTATATATTTCTATGTAAAACTTGGGTCGGCCATTTTGGCCCCACCCTAGCCCCGGGGGTCATGATTTGAACAAACTTGAATCTACACTACCTGAGGATGATTCCACATGAGTTTCATCTTTCCTGGCCCAGTGGTTCTTGAGAAAAGATTTTTAAAGATTTTTCCTATATATTTCTATGTAAAACTTTCGGCCATTTTGGCCCCACCCTAGCCCCGGGGGTCATGATTTGAACAAACTTGAATCTACACTACCTGAGGATGATTCCACATGAGTTTCATCTTTCCTGGCCCAGTGGTTCTTGAGAAGAAGATTTTTTAAAAATGCCATTAATTTTTGTCTAATTCATAATTATCTCCCCTTGGAAAAGGGTGTGGCCCTTCATTTGAACAAACTTGAATCCCCTTTACCCAAGGATGCTTTGTGGCAAGTTTGGTTGAATTTGGCCCAGCGGTTCTTGAGAAGAAGTCGAAAATGTGAAAAGTTTACGGACAGACAGACGGACAGACAGACAGACAGACGGACAGACGGACGCCGGACAAAATGTGATCAGAAAAGCTCACTTGAGCCTTCGGCTCAGGTGAGCTAAAAAACGGATGTGACAAAAATATATATTTTTGAATTTCTACAAAAGATGGATCTCAGCTAATCAGAAGATGAAAAATTATTTCATCATAAAATAAAATTGATTAAAATGAGAAGAAAAAAGAGAGGGAAAAAAAGAAAGATTGTGTATTTTGATTTGCTGATAGATCTCGTTTGTACCGAGTATTTTGATTCACTTAAGTTGTGCTTGTTTCTCTTTAGTCAGCTGATTGATGATCAATCGTATCACAACACGTTAATGCCAGTCTTTTAGTCAGACATATGCTGAATGCCACGAGTATGAGATTCTGTCAAAACATGTCTTCGTGATCAGATCGTCAGTTCCGCGCCCAATTCCTGGAGGAATGATAACAAATTTGTTTGGACAATGCAATCAGGCGAAGAAAAGGTCGATTGGCTTCTATTGTTACACGAGGCTCCCAGGGAATACGCCGTACCAGTGACGTTTAATTGGGTGCTATACCGTCTTCCATTCAGTCAACGAAAAAGCCGGTTCTTTGGAGGCTTCATAAAACATAAAATAGGTTTCTTTATCTCATATATATAACAGGGACGTAGAATTATTTTTGAAAGGGGGAGGGGGGCAACCAGAAAAAAAGGAAAATTGTTTAAACACGATAAAATTTCAGGTGTTTTTCCCACTTTTGTTTTCGAAAATCGATCAATTAATTTACAACCTTTGGAGTTTCTTGTCAACTCGTTTTATCACAAAATTAAATGTTAAGATAAGGTTATAAAGTGCTCAGTATTAATACAGAATTACTTTGTATAATTTTTATATAAAATATCGTGTTCAACTCTGAAATTTCGGATTTACAAAATACCTGTCAAACACCTGTTTTCTGCTGATATCGAATTTCTTCAAATCCAGTTCTCGTTTGTTTGTTTTCATTATTGTTGATTTCCCTCTCCGATAGCTCTCGAGGTTGCAAGACTAAATCTATCTCTTGGACCAGGCTGTATTATTACTAGATACTGAATCTGATAAAGATTCTGGGAATCAGCACCTTCAATCTCTCTCTCTCTCTCTCTCTCTCTCTCTCTCCTTAACATTGTTGTCAACATCTTTTCATTTTAGATCTACCGGTAACTTACGTAAAAGTTTGCTTGAGTTACTGATGAACAATATTTATTAGGTTTTAAAAAACTGAAACTTCAAACAAACAGTTTGAAACTGTTTGAAATCCTATGGGTACCAATTTATTTCCATTCATATTTCGACAAAATATATCTACGCGAGCTTGAAATTTGAGAAATCACAGAGTCTGACTCTGAATTTGTATCAGACATAAATATTTTACTAGAAAAAAAGACGTTAATGGTTACCTTACAACAGATCTTTATGACAGATTTTCAATTAACATCTTCCTTTACTTATATAGCAATAAACCCTTATCAAAATTGTATTGCGTTTATATCTCTTAGTTGCTTTGATACGCAAGAGCATGCTCCACGTAACTTGCACAATTTTTAAAACATGGAAAAAAAAGTTTATAATACAGAATACAGACAGTCCTGATCGAAGTCATCATTTCGTAAGTTCTATGGTCGGTACAATGTTCTTGTCAGCAAATACAATTTATCATTGAATCAAATGCTGACTGATGTCCTT